CACACAATGAATTTCATGATACATATCCATGTGTTTTATAGAGAGAAAATGTGTTTGATAAAAGAAATCATTCGGTCGAAAAGGCTCTGTTTGACCTTAAACTCCTCAAAATCGAGGCTCTGAAGTCGTGTAGCAACGAGTCTTACGGCTCCACGCGTGACCTCCTCGGAGTTTTTCATCAAGGAAACCAATGCTAAGTAGGCCATTGCGCGACCAAAGTTGCTCACATTGATTTCATAAAAAATAACTACCAAATCAGAAGAATTTAAAACCGCCGATTGGTATGTAGACTTGTGTTGCACAAGTAAATAATTGATATGATGAGTTAACGTTTTCATATTAATATCGACGTTATTCTTTTGGAGCTCGTCTAAGATGACCTCCATTATTAGCAGCGCGAAATCACAAATGATACAGTAGTGTGTAAAACATTTTATTTATGTCAACAAAAATAAAGTCTCTATAAAGTTCTTACATAAACGTTTCAGTTCTACTGAGAATAAAGATCTCGGTAATATGATGGTATGAACGGTTCTTCAACACTAATTTGTTCTTCGGGTACCCATTCAAAAAATCGACACGAGTCCTTCTTCCCATTGGGGCAACAAAAGAACATACGATCTTTATTGATGCCTTCTTTCTTCACCTTTTGTAATGTACACGATAGCCCATGATGACAGGACGGTTTCGTTGTTGGCTTCACATCACCCCACGTCCAAAAGGAACATGGATCCTTCTTGTCAGAGCATACAAAAAACGGTCTTCCAAAACTTCCTTTCATTAAATCTTTAACCACACGCATTTTTGTGGGTTTTTTATGTGTGTCACATTGCGGCTGTGATTGATTCGTAACTCTCCAAGCAGCAATGGCTTTCTCAAATAGATATCCATCGTCTTCCGTGCAAAAGAAATTACAACTAGGACTTTGACCACAGAACCAAAACGAACCGTTCTTCGTTGTCGCAGTAGAAGCAGGCTCCCCGTGTAAGCACCTCATCGCTTAATCTTGACTTAAAATATATCACACAAGCTCTTCCAAGTGAAACTCGTAAACATGCAATGATGATATCCAGCGTTTATGCCCCAAATTTATACTCTAAGACAAAACTGAAAACCAATAAGATCATCGGATGACAATCTTAGATGTCTCCTCAGACGTCTGACCTTGCATATCTTAGTCAGATTGTGTTGTGAGAAAACTTTGAATTCAGTTGAACACAAACTTTGACGATGGAAAGTTCGAACAAGGTATTCCATTTGCTAGAAGTAATGTATGCCAATGCTGTAGAACGCGAGGTTCAAAGAATGCGCAGTAAACTTTGCTGTGGTTGTAAAGTAAGAGATCAAGACTGTTTAATGTTAGATGAGTACGAGACATGGCAGTTGTATGGTTTCGAAGCCATAGAGCAAGTTAACAATACATGCATGATATGGAGTGAGTTTGTTGAAGTAACAAGAGTCTTAGACCTTAAGTGGTATGATGATGTATCTCAGCACTGGAAACAACTTACGAAAGATCCAGATTTTATACTGATCGAGTCCTTAATGAACGTAAAAGATCCTAAAGTTCAAAGTGCATTGAACCAGCTGTCTTATTGGAAAGGAGATTCATACCAAACTGATCCACTAGAGTCAGGTGTCGTTGCCTTTTTTTGTAACCCGCCTATCTTTAAGTACACGGTTAAAACAACAGGAGAACAGTTCACAAGTGATGAGAACAATCATCACAAAGCATACAAAGAGTATTTAAGAAATGAACTCTTAAAATGAACATACAAATGTGTAATTCTCAGCAGTAAAATAAAATATACTCTTCGCAAATTCTTACTGCGTGATAAGTAAACCGGCATTTGTGTAATTTGAGCAAACTGCTGTCAAACATATCCTGCGTATTTACGCTAATATGCGTATTTACGCTATTATGCGTATTTACGCTTTATTGTTTACCCCGCCCCTCGCGCACTATTCTACTCGCGCGTGGAGACCACGCACCTCTTCGGGAAAATCCGACAGTTTCCGACATCCCGCGTGGGGTCCACGCGTTGCGTGTTTTCCTCGCTGGATGGGGGGGGCTACCTACTACCGTACATACATCGGCGTGAAAGACTGGGTCGAGTGCACTAAAACATTGTCATGTCAAACTTAGTAGTGCTGCCTGGGGCAGCAATTAACATTTCTATCTTATAGCTCTCAAGCTCTATCTTATATTTATTGCTGAAAGTCCGGCCTGAAACGGATGCAATTGCATCAATTGCAAGCGTATAAGCGTTGCGTCATATAATATCCCTACCGGCATTTGTTGTCACAGGCATTCATTCATTAGTCGAATTCATATTAGAGACGGGAAACTTGTCTTAGACGGGAAACTCGTCTAATGTGAATCCGGTCACAGACGGGTTTCTCGTCCGAATTTACCCGTCTAACTTTTCCGTCGAAACAGACTGGACGAGAAACTCCAGTCTTGGCATTTAGAGGGATAAATGAGACCAGTTTCTGAAATATCAACACGGTCAAGGATGGAACAAGGCTAAGAGGAAACAAACAATTTTCATCGTAATAATTACGATACACTTTTTAGCATCACCCATCACACGTATAAATTAATCCATTCCTATATTCATATTTAGAATGGTTTTTACCAACAACTTTCCCCTCTAAGAGAAGTTTTCCATCTGTTATATGAATTCGGCTAATCATTATACATTAGAGGTATTTGCAGCTATTTTCGTAAGCCCATAAAAATTAAAGCATTATATCTAAACTTACCTCATATCACATTCAACCACGATAAATCCACACAAAGAGCTTCTAAAATATAGACGCAGTTATCCAAACTGTGTCCGACCTTGCCACTGGGTGACAAAACATCTGAAATAGAATTCAACATATCTATATGACATTCTGAAAAATTTCACTTCCGATCCATGACGTCAATCTAATGTTTCATTTAATTAATGGCTATCTTTAAAACCAGGGACGGGGAATCAAGGAACGGGGAACCAGAAACGGGGAACAGGAAATGAGAATATCCGGAATCTTTAAAAGCCGGAATGAGAATCTCTGGAATCTTTAAAACCCGGAATGGAATCTCCGGAATCTTTAAAACCCGCGGAATGAGAATCACCGGAATCTTTAAAACCCGGAATGAGAATCTCCGGAATCTTTAAAACCCGGAATGAGAATCACCGGTATCTTTAAAACCCGGAATGAGAATCTATAGTTTTTTGTAATACCATTATGGAAGCCAATTCCTATTTGGTAAAATGCTTTTATAACAGTTTGATGACCATCGATGAAAATTTACCTTATAAAAGTGCCACAATCATTTATAAATTTTGAATCTCATAGATATCTACACTCTTCAATAGCCATACCAAACTCATTTACTATAAAACCGGACACTTGTCAGTCAGGCCAGTTTATCGAAATAAGTAATTAGCGCTCGCCGTTTTAAGTGAAGAAAATCCATAAACCAAGTTAAAACATAAAACATCATAGCACTTACTTGTTGATTTTAAACGTGAAAACAGGTAGCGTAAAGTGTTTCGTTTGAGTGCCTTCCGTTGCCCTCCTCTTCCCATAAAGCTCCCACCCTTATGCAAAATGCAAGGCAACAAACCTGGAATTTGCATAAGCCGGCAGTGTTTAGCATCACAATGTTCGAAATTTATTGTACTGTTCAGATTTGGAGGTAAATTGCCCAGTGGCGTCGCTAGGGGGGGAACTGGGGGGGACTCATCCCCCCCACTTATTCTAAAGACCACTTTTGGGATTTTTCTAAATCTGAAGAGAAAAGGGGGGGGGGGGGGGGGTACAATGAATCTAATTTCCAACAGCAGAGTAAATAAAGAAATTTTCGAATTAACATTACTTTTGATCACGTAAAGAATAACATTAGAATAACATAGTCAGCATATAGAAAGAGACATTGCAGATAAAATTGAGTTGGATGCTCTTGTTGACACATTCAGATTAGGCTGATTAGCTAACAACAAAAAGTTCCCCTTGTAAAAACCGTTTGTTTATAACAAAAATCTCCGATCTGTGGCTTTCGGATTGTCATAAAACTTGGCTGAAAATGCGGGAAATAGCGTTTTAGAGACCCTAGAAATAAAAATTTTCTCAGGGGTGAATGCCCCCGAACCCCCCTAGAGGTCTTGCGCTTTGGTGCCTCGTCCCCCCCAGTCTGAGCAACCTGGCGACGCCACTGAAATTGCCTGTAGATATGACCAGCTTGATTTTCTTGCCTAGTCTTCAAAACGCTGAACGCAGCGCGTGGAAAGCCGACAAACTCCATTAAAACGGAGGTCTGTCGTGGAAATAAACGGTAAAAATGACGAGCCTTAATTTGGTATAAATTTACAGTTTTATATATGAATATATAGGTAAACACTTCAAGTTTAATAATCAAGAGTTAAAGAGATGGGAACCTTCGCGCCTCACGCCCACATAGCTCAGTGTTCACGCCTCGCTTATATATCGCGCTGCTAAAAGCCTATAAAGCGCATGTTTACGAGGCAGCCATGAATGTTTCTCGCACATATTGCTCAGTGTAACAGTGTTCTCGCATTTTAACTGCATTTTGAAGACTCTTCACTTAATCTTTATCTCTTAAAGAATTAATAAAATTGCATTGATCACACGACCCAATTTTGTTGGTCCAATGTCTGACGTTCTGACGTATGGGATATCAATTATTGGACGAGGTCGATAAAATATCGTGATTTATCGGTGAATGACGTATGAATTTGGTCGGATTTATACTTCTAGGAAAAAAAGAAACGTTTGTTTCTTCTACAGTCGTTATCAATTTTCTTCCAAGTACCTGAATTTTAAAAATTTGTACTAAAATATATTTATGCAAATAAAAAAATTATGCGTGCGACTAGGCCACACGCGACCATTGCTAGGGAACAAAAACATCCTTCATCCTCGCTCGCTGATTGGTCGCGATTATCATAATTAATCTTCTGCCAAATTTCTTCCGAATTTGAAAAAGGGCGCTTGAGTTGTGGCTTTTGTTTTGAAGATATCTCCCTCGTGTAGCACCTTCGGTTCAGTTTAATGTGTTTAGGCGGCAAAGAAGCTTCTACAGATGGTCTTTTGTCGATGCTAAGCGCCCTCGAAGCCTGTCTTGCTGTCGTGGGAAGACATCAACATTCGTCAACATTCGTTCACGCGAGAAAGCTCTCAAGTCGATTGAGCTGAACGTTTATCAATGGAGCCTAAAAGTGGTAAAGAATTGAGGATCCAAATGCCCGTATCTGTATCATCTTGCACAGAACCAGTCGTAGCTTCGCCTATGACACAGCTCGCGATGAACTTTGAAGGCATTTGTACAAGAACGCCGACAGGGTAGGATCATTGTACTCAGTTGCACTCGCACTTTGTGTGAATATAGGCCATATTTTTGCCTAAAACAATCTGCTCTTATGCTAGGATGAATATTGAACCTAATTTGTCATTTAACAGGCCGAAATGTACCCCAAGACGGAAGCTTTCTTTAGGTGAAATCGACAACAACACCGGTACGCCAATTTTATCTTCCAAGAGCTTTTCTCGACGTGTGTCAAGCGAATCAGGTATGAAGCAACGTTTATATTTAAAATTGAAAGGTTGTTAATCGTTGTACGTCTTTTGAACGGTTAGATTCCCGTGCTGTTTGAGATGGGTCAATTTCGATTTGATTTTAACACACAATTTCGGAATTTCCGTAGGCTATTGTCCCTCGCCAGACAGACAAGGCTCTCTAGATTCTCCATCAGCCGATTTTATAAGGTTAGTGAACTATGACTTTATGAAGTATTTTAGGTCAAGAGTATTTCTTAATGTGTGTATTCGCCTAGCAGTAAGAGAAATGTTTCATTTTTCAAAGTATGTGTTCGGAATTCATTTAAACTTTCAAAATATATAAATTTTTATTTACCAGATTGTTCATTTCAAAAATAACACCCCTCAATTCGTTCTTCTTAACTGTGATTGGCTGGTATTCGCAGACACTGACCTCTCTATATTATTCCTGTTCTTGACATTGTTCCAAGGTCAAGTGAACATACCTCATGGCATTAGAAATGAGATAGTGACAAATATTGAAAGAATGTGGGGGTTGCCAATGTAACATGTCAATGTTTTAAAAATATCTCGAAATGATATATTAGTAGTAGGACTATGGGCCAGCCTTATTATAAAAAAGTTGTCCTGGTTAGAGTAAAAACTTTGCAGGCTTTATAACTTCTTTTGATGCCAATTTAAAGGGAAATAAAGGGTTATCTCTATTTAACAAGTTACAATTCTTATCTGACCAAATTGCCAAAAATACTTCTTATATAAACTAGCTGACTTTATAAGCTAATAATTCACTTTCCAACAAGGGTATTTTCTTCAAACAATGATTTTTTGTGTTGTTTAATATCATTCCAAGCAATATTGCTTGCTTTGCTTCCAATCATTTGTGCAGTTGAAATTTTCAAACTAGCAATAAGGCTATATTATTATGAATCATGGAGATTGAACCTTTACCTAAGATAATTAGATAAAGTATAAAAAGAGGCATTCTGCAAAAAGTTGAACCTCATTAACCTAGACACCAATTGTTAAAAAGACACAGGCAATGCTACACAAGTTTGAATTACCGAACTATGATAATTAGTAATATTTTACACCATGCTTTGTACTGAATAAAATGTTTAATTTGTAGTTCCAAAAGGCGGCGTTCCATTTCAAAGCCAATCAGGTATGCTGTTCCCACAAACTGGCAGTTTGATGCACAATTCTGCTTATATGATAGAACTTTCAGTGTTCCCAAAAAATGGATTGTCAAGTGATCTTCCTTGACTAAGGTGGCTTACTAACTATGATTAAAACATGTTTTAACTTCCAAAGCTAGGGAACAAAGGCAATTCTAGCTGTCAAATTACGGCGCCAATTTGTTGCAAATTTCAGAATTACAATTGTTTGTTATTCTCTTTAGGAGGTCTGCATTAATACGAAGCATCTCATCACCAGTATGTATCAGTATTCATGAGCAGTTATTTTCTAAACCTTCATACAATGATACAAATATACTATATACAGTATGTACTAGTGTATTGCATGGGTGCTGGGACCAATCAGGGGTAGGGGGCAGCAGCTGTCCTTCAGGATCATTGCTAACCATAATGATATATATTTGTGTCGGCCATATAACAACATGAGTGCTAGCTAGGACCATGCATTGGAGCAGGGAGGAGTATGCAGCTACCATAAATTGCTATATATTATATATTTATACCCCATTTCATACAGTAGTGTCGTATATTCACAATTTGATGATGATTTTCAATGTACAGTAAGCTGCTATGCTTATATATATTATGATATTATTTGATAATAACTGATAATATCATTAGATAATATACCTATGAGTGTAAGCTTCCTCTCCTTATGGTTGCTGAACTAATTTGATCTGCATCTTATAATTAAAGCTCTTTTCCTAGGCAACCCCAAACTGCTCCTTGTATCCTGAATATATATACTGTGAATTGACAAAATAACAATTGTCGCTATCATACCATCACTGCATGCAATTGTATTACCAGCTATGGCATATATAATAATCCATTGCATTTACCAAATTTTTAGTTTGCCAGTTGTGTGAATGATGAGGAGAACTTGTTTAAAGACAATGCTGATGGAATTCCCGAGGAAAATGTCGATGCAAACAACAATAAAGAAAATGATTTTGAGTTTGCAAAACCCACAATGCCCATCTACAGAAGTTCATCAAATTCGGGAAGGCAAAGACCCATCTCAGCACCACCCGAGCTTATGGTAACAATATATATATACATGAGTAGATAAAAGGTAGAATTTCAGAGAATAAAGCCTGTATATTGACCAAATGTCAAGGGATCAGACCCTGGAAGATCATGGCAAAATCTATGCAGGATCCTGCATGATTTTGATAAGATCTTGCCAAGATCTTGCGGGATCTTGCCAAGATTGTCAACCTGGCCCCTGGGTTTAAATTGACTGCAAAACCTTGGTAGCTATAGTGCTGGTGTTTTTTTCAACTGGGACAGATTTTCATGAAAATTGGGCAATACAGCTGCTGATGAACATATTGAAGTCAAAACATAGGCAGCCTGGTCAATGTGGGTACGTAATTTATGTACCGGTATATAAGATAGTATGACCTACCTACCCGCATTGACCAGGCTGCCTATGGTCAAAATGAATGTAGAGAATTTCCATCTCAAAAATACCTAAAGATTAAGAGTGCCAGTTTAAAAGTAATTTCTGCAATTTCAGTCCGCAGGAATGGCGTCTTGTATGGAATCAAATGATGATTGTGATGAAATGGTCGCGCATTTCTCTGTTGATGAGGACGATGATGGATTCATAGATTACGCTCAGCTGGAACAAAATAATGAGGTAGGACGAATATCATTGCTTTCATTTCCAAGCACAGTTTTGGAATTCTAAACAAGCCGATCAGAGTTTCTATAGTTAGGGCAAACCATTGCTCCATGTTTTCTTTAACTTGTCTATCGTTTAGTAATATTCAGACGCTTATATTCTTGACATCATATGTACACTTTATCTGCGCATGTCACCTGAACTATGGCATGGCTATAGTTCCGACAAATATCATCGCAGGGGATAGGAAGGGGATAGCCGATAGAGGACGCTGTCGTGAATACAGACAGTGCTCACTCCTTTGCCTGCAATATTTTTGAATTCCACTTCCAATCAGTGAGACCTGTGCCGTTTTGTAGAGGAGGTAGTACACCTATGTGGGCCAGCCAATGGCGTCAATAAAAGCACTTATAGCTGTAATGATATAATTACAACGTGCCCAGTGCTCACTGATGAAAGGCAATTGTGTTTTTAGGATGATGCTTTTGCAATCTCGTCTACGGTCGCAGGATTAATGACAAAGCCTTTGTCGAGCTCTGTAAGTAACATTACAAATGCACGTTGTTACCTCGTGCACGGATTATGTTAAGAGGCGTGCCGACGTGATGTTGCGTGATTACTGGTACTGTACAATCAGGTGCAAAATGATATGTAACATTTGGGATATATAGGTACACCTTATCCACACGATCGAAGGGAAAATATGCTCAATATGTTAAATTAGCTTCATGTTTGAAAACGAATGTGAAAACGCTCGAAAACGTTACCGTTTGCATATAATCAAAGTGTTGATTGTTTTGCGAAGGTATTACGAGACACGTTGTATGCAAAATTGCACCGGGTAACAAGGCCTTTGGAATTTTACGTGCGTATAAATAGGCGAAACTAAAAAACGTCCTAGTTGATTTGAAACATGTGCAGATTATCGTTAATAACCAAATTTCAATGAATGGCAGTACGCCAAAGGTTTGTCGACTCTTACAAATTCATCAAGTTAGGTTTTCGCCCTAGATTTCTCGTGTATATATACTGCTCCTAACCACAAACATGTCGAATTCTCTTCAGGCTTCGAGTAAATCCAAGCTGGAACCATGTGGTCTGTTTCATCCAATCACATGCAAAAGCGCTAGCCCGGATGTAAAACCACGACGGTCTAAATCGGTGTCAATGAAGGTAAAAATTGCTTAATACCACTTATCTGAATAGAAAGAGCTCCGTGAGCTATTCAGTGTCTATTTTTCAGTGAACATTGTATCGGTGATTTTACTGATGGGGTCATACGAATGTATTATAACCAAATTTTCATGTACTTTTATATAGAGACCAGTTCCTCCGCGCGATCCCAGTCCTGAAGAGAGAAAAAAGTTAAGGTATTGACATACATCGGGTCATCATCCCATATTTCGTAGTGAGTTTTTAACCGATGTAAAGATACTGGGAACGCAATAGAATTAGAGCTTTGGAAGTAGATTGCAATTGTTAAGGAGTATCCTCAATTTTTTGCTGACAGCTGTGTTTGCAGGTTCCGCTATTGTATAACTGAAGTGTAAGATTAAGAAACGATCAACTTTCTATCCTTTTAGAGCAAGGTGCTCGTCTGCTCTTGAGGCAAGCTGGAATTCACCGTTACTACTTGCTGTAAGTATAAACTACTGACCTATATAGGTCAACACTGATCTATATTGGTCACCACTGACCTATATAGGTCACCACTGATCTAATATAGGTCAGTGGTATAAACGCGTCAAATCCGTGCACTCATTTGTGCCGGTTGACAAATCGTGCCGTAAATCTTTATATACTGTATGTACGCTGTTTAAAAGTTAAATTGCTGTGATCTGGTTTAAATGTTATAATATTGTTTTTCTTATTTTTAGGGTGATAGAAAACCTCCCAGAAGTCCTTTAATGCGATCAATGTCTGTGATCGAACCGAGAACCAGACTGGATATCGATACGTATTTGAATGCAGGTATGTCACTCGGTTGCAAGACGTGTTGAAGAACTTTTGGTTACGAATTTGATATAAGTTCCCTCTCATAACCCTAAACCAAATGAGCGAACAAAAATCAGGGGCCGGTTGTATAAAACTCGATCTTAATTTAACTACATTTTGCATAGTTATATTCTATATAGTTAATAACTTAGAAATACACGACTCTGATTGACCAATTCTGTCCTTAACTGCAGTTAAAAGTTAACTAGTCTTTTATGCAACTGGCCCCAGGATAGAGTCTTTAGATGATGACTATTTCACACACTGATCTTACAATACACTGAATATAGCAAAGGTATATCCACATAAACGAAGAAAGAACTAATAAACTTTTGAAACCCGAGGATAGAGGAAAATACTACTTTTAAATGCAATCAGTTGACAATCACGTTTTTAAATTGAATTTCCTTCGTATGTTTTGTTTTAGGTCAGGACAATAGCAATTTAACAGGCGATTTTAGCAAGGTAAGATGTTATTGAAAAGAGATCTTGCAATGGGTGGCATAGCGGTTATTTTGTTTTAATTTATAGCGCCATAGTCTGCATGTTGCGCGCATGAAGAAATGTTCATGGAAACCTGACAAGTAATAATACTTCTCCTGTCTTTTCCAGCAAAATATTTTGCCAACGATAAAAGGCCAGCACCAGGACCTCAAGACAGTCACTCCGCAAACGGTATGCTTGCTTTGCCAGGATGGGTTTAAAGGAGGGGGGTGGTTATTGAAAGGGGAGGGGGTGCACGGTTTTGGGGGGGGGAATTTCACCCTGCTTTTTATAATCTACCTTCTTTGTTGATGCGGAATTAAAGTCGAGTATTTTTTTGCTGATGGTCTGTTGTTTTGCAGAAGCTTGTTTCATCGCCATGGAATTGGTCGTAGCTAATCCAACTAAATATCTTTCTACGTGTAGGTGGCGCAAGTTTTAAATTGCAACTATCAAGCCATCGATCAAGTGTATATCATAGACTGTCGCTATCCTTACGAATACGAAGGAGGCCATATCAGGGTGAGAAAATTAAGTTATGCAGCAAACGTAGTTTTTTCTTTTGTTTAAACTCGATTCTAAGTGGAAGCAGCATATGTCATTCATGAATTTTTAAGTTCAGCAGGCCTTGCATGAACGACAAACTTAGACAATAAAAAGAGAAGTGTATCCTGTCTTAGGCTGTCTACATGCATAACCCGAGTTAACGCCTACCGTGCGTCTTGTTAAAGGCAAGATTTGCCCTGAATATTTCAAGTGAACTCTTTCATTCGTCTTTTCCTCGTGAATTGTTATGAAGTTTCAGAATCTGTGCTTCCAGTCTTTAAGTTTTCGTTTATGTTTTCTTCAGACGGCGATGAATATGCATACCAAAGAGGAAATTTTCGACTTCTTTTTGAAGAGACCAAAATCGAGCCCGGACAAACGGACTATTTTAATATTTCATTGCGAATTCTCGTCAAAAAGAGCGCCTACATTGTAAGTCATACGTTTTTGTCTAATCGCATGCCCAAGGTACACAGTCGTCTCTCTGATAATTATGTACTAGTTTGATTCATGCGGGGGGGGATCCAGGAAGATTTCGTATTGGGGGGGTGTTTAAGAAAACAAGCACCAGTTGTAACGCATTTACCATGTTACGTGAATATTAAAAATGTAAGCATTCTGAGAAATATAAACAAATCTACCGGTTAGTTTAACATGAAATCTCCGCTCGTTTGTCGACAGTTGCTGTTTGTGTCACCCAGAGTTTTCAGAATCGCCAAAGTGCCCGTATTAATTTTTGCATCTAATGTGTATAGTCGTCCCTCTGTTATTGGTTTTATATGTTCTGCACGTCACCATCCACTGATATGAGGCCGGAATTTCCTTGTTTTCCCAGATACAGATACTTACGTAACAAGGACCGAGACAGCCACACGCATTGTTACCCTAAATTATTCTACCCAGAAATCTACGTTATTCACGGTGGTTATAAAGCTTTCTACGAAACGTGCAAAGTAAGTGCACATCATGTTCTGCCATCCTATCTTAGTATAGTTATGTCTATGCGCCGGCCCATTTAATCCATTTATTACACTTTGGAACGAAGATTTGAGTTTCGAACCAGCTTCGCAATATAGACGAGAAAGAATAAAAATGGTGTTGGTTGAACTACAGTCACACAACATCGGTTTGTTATGTTTGTATATAAATATCAGCTTTCGTTACCAGAAACGTTGAAACGTTCTTGTGGAGCTGAGCTGATGCGCAATTGTCGCTGTAGTTCTCTTCAAGTAATTGGTGAATTCTTGGATATTTGAAGGTAATGTTACACGAAACAACTTTCAACATCAACTCGCGACGCAACAATGTTTCCCTGGTAGAAATCTTAAGTAAGATCTTATTAATTAAGATCCTAATAAGATCTTATTAGGACCTTAACATAGGATCCTGTAAGATCTTATACGATCTGGTATAGGATCTTATATAAGACTTGTAAGATCCGATATAAGATCCTGTAGGATCCTATAGGATCCTTTAAGATCTTATAGGATGTTTAATAAGATCTTAAAAAATCTGATAGGATCCTAATGAATCTTAAATATGATCTTACATATATCTTATAAGGTCCTAATAAGATCTTAAAAAAGGTTTACGCGTCGAATATGTTATATATGAGCTAGAAATTGTTTTGGAAACGAGTTGATAGTTTATGAACTGTTTTTATTGCACACAACATTGTTGTTAGATTTTTGCTTATTGTTGCGTTGCGAGTTGATGTTGAAAGTTGTTTCGTATAACATTACCCATTACCTTAGAGCGTGTGTGATATTCTTTAAACAGATCATAAAACATCGTGTTTCGGTTTAAATTAGACAAATTTAGATTGAGAACTCACGCTTTTGCCTCTGCGCTGAAACGCCGCCGCTCACGGACTTCCTTGGGCGAAAACTTATACTATTTTGAAAATTCTTTTTTGCTTGTTGATGCGTTGAAAGGACTGTTGGACAAAACAACAAGGTCCGTGTCAAAAGACTAAAGACGATTTCGATGAAGTATACGGTAAACTTTCCATGAAAAAAATTGTGGACACGAAATTCGTTTGCGATATAAACACAACTGTTTTCGGCAGCCATGTTGAGATGGCCTCTTTGCTATAGTGACGGTCGCTGTACACCATTGTGCCTTTTTGTTCATATATTCCTGGAAAGTTAGTCTTTTAGTCAAACATCTATCCTTAGGCAAATGTGCGTTAAACAAGTTTAGGATAAGAAACTAGCTGGGTAATCTTGAATGAACTTTTCGTGCGTTCGTGTGTATGAAAAGTCTGTAACTTTAAAGTAGCTCTGGATTTGAAATGCATTAAACATTACATTGACTACATCCATATTAGAGACGTAACCCGAAGAGACACACTCCCCATCAATGCAAACTCATTTTAGTAATACTGGCACTCAGAATCTGTACTTTAATCCTTTTCATCTTAAAACTTAGAATCTTCTAATCTAATCTTAATACTCATAATCTGCATAAAACATTCTAATCTTAATAGTTAGTACTCATAATCTGCATAAAACATTCTAATCTTCTAATCTTAATACCCCGAATCTGCATAAAACACCTCAATATAATCTTAATGCTGAGAATCTGCATAAAACACCTCAATATAATCTTAATACTCCGAATCTGCATAAAACACTTCATTCTTCTATGTATTTTCTCAGGAATACTGTGAACCACAAACATATCGACCCATGGCCGACGAAAACTACACCCTAGAATACAAACGTTTCTCCAGACGCTCAAAGTCATGGTCAGACGAGCAATCTGTTCGCAAGAGCTATCGTCAGGGACTGAAATTCTAAGAAATTATTGAATATTGTACATATTAATAGTCATTAACTTAAGCCGCTGAGGCAACACCTGTATAGATTATTTTTTCCAATTTACCCGAAATGTATTTAATATAATTTATAGCAACGTCAGGCACATTTTTCGGGCCATCCTGTATGCTGGCAAATTCAGGAAATTTTTCAATGTATTTTAGGCAAATCTATCATTTCTCATACACGGTGTATTCTTTTGTAAAGAAACAAATAACGAAACTAAAATTATTATTAAAGTAATTTAGAAAATATGAATATTTTGTGGCATTATAATAAATTCATATCACCAAGAAATTTCGTATGATTTTTTCACCATTGTTTCGAACGCTTCTGGCAACCGAATTTCCTCAATAACAGACATGAGATAGATAGTCTTAATCGACTCTAGATAGATAGTTTATTAAATAGGATTTTAAATATAGCAGCTTGTAAGGCTGAGTTGAGTAATATACACGCTTTTAAGATCGTATTGCGTTACGCACACTGACGTCAAAATTTAGTTGCAAGGATGTCACGTTTAGTAGTGACGACGCATAACGATCGAGTTTCAAAATTTTCCCGCCATTTTTATTATTGTTGTTGTGAAAATGGTCTTTGTTCGTGTATAAAACGAAGTTAACAAACGGAAACATTTAAAAGACATCTTCAGATCTTTGGGATGGTAAATATCAAGAACATCGGACAGTTGCCAAATTCGGACCGAAGTATACATATTTCCAAACTTTGCAAGGTTATATTTTATGTATTTTTACCAATTTTAGTGTACTTTTTTCATGCAGCTTTGGTGATTTGATTGCATTTTCTTGCACAGATATTTTAAATGTAGTCTATAGCTAATGCAAACGGTCAGTTGTTGTGCAGAATATTCTAAAGTTGGTTTTAAATCATATTTTCTCCGATCACGTCTTTTTCATTGAATAAAAGAGCTAATTCATTAATTGACCGTCAGATATCCCGCGTGAAAATTTTTACGTGCATCCACCTAATTATTATACTAGCATAATAATAATAATAATTATAATAACAATTATACCACGAGCCGAGGCGTATATGAGCTGCTAGCTATAGCCAAATACCAGTTGTTAAGCGACAAAAGTATTCCAGAATTCTGCAGTCAATTTATTCTTTGTTTTACCTCAGCAAACCGGTCAGCCATTTTGCTTTCTCTTTGGTTTTGCTACCCATTGTATATAAGCTGATATACGGTGTGTAGCTTGACCAATCAGATTGCGGAATAGCTCGTATACAGGAGTAGCTATATTATAATAATAACTATACTATATTCATGTTCTTGAGTTTAAATATGTTTTTATATATCCAAGTTTCTTTTAAAGCCGGTTTTCCAGCCTCGATAGCTAGACGGTATTTTATTTTTGCCATATAGCTCTCGGGCCTGAGATCGACATTAAAGTTCAAAAGCACGACATTGCATGAAAGCCCCGTTTACACTACACTGGATTTATTGGCACGGCACGGCTAAAATGGGTACCCATGCCCATTTCATCTGTGCTCGGCCTTTGTTTTGGTAGCCTGAACGCCAATAAAATTGGGCACGGGTACCAATTTTAGCCGTGCCGTGCCAATAAATTGAGTGTAGTGTAAACGGGGCTTACATGACACTCGATTTATTGGCACGGCACGGCTAAAATGGTGACAGTGCCCCTACATATACGAAACCTCGTGCAGATATATTGTTGGTATTATTTATATCAGTCCTATGTAATTTGACAATGGCGCAAAGATTCGCTTATAGTTGTGCAGGAATATTTTAAAACTGACTTGGACGAATTTTCATCTCTGTCTTTTTCATTGAATAATTATGCCATTTTATTCCGCTGTTACTAGTCTGACCTGCACCCAGATACAGGCCATTGAGGTTGGAAGAATAACAGGACTTGTACCACCAAGCTCCGCTGTACGTCGTAGCGCAATTCTTATTATAAGCATCATTGTCACTATCCTTGGTAGTGAACTGCATTTGATTGTGATAATCAAGGGAATCACCTGCGTCACCTTTACAAAAATAAACAAAGAGTAATATATGCGGATAAGACGAAACTCTGAAAACATAGGTTCACAAACAACTCGACGCCTTCTGCTCGTGTTTCGCGCGCTTTTCCTATACGTCTCGCAATTAACATTCCCGCGTGTTTGGATGGCCTGATCCAAACACGGGCTTCGACCAATCAGAACACACGTTATATGCTTGTTATTTTATAAATCCCATTCATGTCTTTATTTACATGTATATTGGGACAGGTATTTTGAGACACAGGGTTAAACATATACACCCTTGGAAACTCCCTTGCAATAATGGGGTAAAAAATTCACCCGAAGGTGAAAATATATCTAAAAGTTCTAATTAAAATTGGGCTGGTGCATGCAACAGCAGGAAATGAATTAATTTAAGTGACATTTCAAAACATAAAATAACGATAAGTAATTTAGCTTGTAGGTACTCCACGTAAGTATTTAATACTGCAAAGCTTTCGGTCCGTTAACCCCGGCCTTCGTCAGTGCAATAAATGATGAAGGCCCGGGTCAACGGACCGAAAGCTTTGCAGTATTAAATACTTACGTGGTGTACCTATACAAGCTAAATTGCTTATCGACTGTCACCATGAAAACATACAAGATTATTATAAAATAACGAGCTTGAACTTTCTTTATGACAACAAATTTAAACATCTAATGCCGCAATGTTGCAAATGAGTAGTTTTTTTAATAGGTGTGTATGTGCCAAAGATCGGTCACTCGATCCCAGAGGCTAAAACTAAACTCTACATCCTACTATTTCATTGTGACTTGTGACGCTGTGATAACAAATACGAATTAATAGGTTTAAAAAGCATTGAATCTAAATTTATCCTGATCGTGCATGGTTTACCTGAAAAACTGCCAATATTCAATCTGTATTTGTCTGATTCATCAGCCACACTAAACGTTCCATATTTAGCGTAACGTTCAGCGCCATTGAAATCTATCGAATCTACTCTTAGAACATTTTGACCAGATTTAGACAAACGATGTATTTTATCAAGGCCCAACCAGAACTCGCCGTTAAAATTACCAAAGCCTGCTTTATAATCTGACCATCCAAGGTAGAAATCTTGACTTCCATCTTGTCTTCTTTGGAACACGGTCCAGCCTCCTCCATCTCTGCTCATATCACATCTGACTTGGAACGAACCCAGGCCATCAGGATTAATGGTATAAACACCATCGTTTCTCACTTCTAGGTTATACAGCTGGGCGCAACTGGTAGCTATAGAATTTTAAAAAACTCATTAATAATTCATGAGTAAATTTCAAAAGAAATTAATGTTTAATCAGTGTCTTTATATGTGATATAGATTCATGTTCATTTACATAAACTTTACCTCTGATTTTCTCGGCTTTGACAAGGTTTATTTTTAAAATTTCTTCGCTATTGAACTCATAAGATGGATTCGTTTTTTAAGCCATTTACAAAACTCGTAGATCGTGCTTTATCACATCTAAAACACTCCGCTTCGCGTCGTGTTTTATATGTGATAAAGCACTCCTACTCGTTTTGTAAATAGTACGTAAAACATTACAAAATAAGAATTACCGAAGTTAGCTCTTCATTGGCTAGTTCGTCTGATTTTAACATGATCGAGTGGACCTCACTGTTTATGCGCTTTCAAGCCAAGTTGTTTAGATTACATGTCTTATTCGCATTAATATTGCATGCTTTTATTTTATATATGAGGAATTTTCTTTAGGAAGCGAAGAGTGAGTTTTGACAGGATTTTGGCAACACCCAATTAATTTACTTTAAAATTTAAAAGAAAGCTTTACCACGTCCACATGCAGTCAAATATATATATTTTCATTCATATCTATGTCTCAGCATACCTGATTTGATCCTTTCTTTTTTTCTCTTTATTTCTTCTGCAATCTTTGCCTACAAAAGTCAATGATTTTCAAAAACGTGTGCATGACGTATACAAACTGAGTTATTACGCATGTATAAGAGAACTCTCTAGCATCAACCCGGAGCTAATATAAGCTCATCGTCTGTGCAGTTGTATTTTTTCTGCTTTCATGAAACAACTTTTCATTGATTTATATTGATATACCTCTTCGTCATCGACCATTAGTATCCATTCTTCTTCTCCCTCCCGTGTGGCGTGATCTCTCTTTCCAGCGATGTTAGTCAGTTGGCAGTTAACAACATTGATCTTTTCTCTGTAGTTGTATCCAACACATTTCGGTTCCTTTTGGCAGAGCTCGTAACATTCTATCGGAACAATCCCTGAGTTGACGTTATGACTTGATATAATTTCATCTGGAGGTAGAGACGCACCTCCTAAAAGTAGGTAACATGCAAAGTTGGGGAGTGTTTAGGGATCAGTGTTTTTAATTTACATTGTAAACATGACTTGTATTAGTAACGAAAAACATTTTATGAAATACATTATTATATAGACGACTCACCTGTCTTAATGATACTATAAATCCTGGAAGAACAGTTCTGTGATGTTATACACGCAATTTTAGCGATAAGTAATATTAAAGTCGCTATGTTAAACATGATTACATGAATGAGGTCGCCAGCAACAGAAATAACGTATTTTTACGTGTTGTTTCGTCTTATATATTATTGATACAATCTTCATTAATTAAACAATTTAAACAATGTTAATTTAGCGACTATAATAAATTGTTTCTTTCTCTGCGTGGTATTAGGGGCTTTAATTGAATGTGTGAATACAACAGACTTTTTATAAGTTGAAGCGGGCATATGTCAGATTAAATAAGCACAGTCACTCTTCGAATTGTAACTATATTTTTTTCGAGATCACAACATTAACCTTTGGGAAGAAATTGGTCTCCATGTAGATTACAGAAACTTCTTTGTGAACTAACAGGTTGATGAAGATTATTAAACAGTTTTTTAAATGTCATGTGAAAATTGTGGATGATGATGTGAAAATATTTGTCCATAGATCAATGATCGATGATCAAGGACAGCAATTAAAAATCAACATTACATACACAGCAGGCACCACACATAAATCATCAGGGTCCGGTTGTTCAAAGCTAGGTTAGCGCTAACCATGGATTGAATTTTACTTCGCTGTTTTGGTTTATATGCTTCTGCACTGCTGTTCATGCAGCTCAAGACACAAAATAGGACTTCTATTGATCCACAAAATATTCATGAAAAATTCATGTTCAATTTCATAAACGAGCGATTAAAAAAATTGATGTGAAAATTTAAGTTACCCAGGGTAGAGATAACCGGCTTTTGAACAACCGGCCCCAGCAGATATTAGTAATTAAATATGTCACACTATAATATCCTTTGTCTCTCGGGAGGATTACACCGTTAGCAAAATTACATAATAACGGAAGAAGCCGGAAGAACGTTTTAATAATTAACCGTCTCGCTTCTTAAAAAAGATGTTAATAGTATTCAAAAAATGAAGACAGCTGTAGCTAAAGACGACAAAATAATACGGCATTACGCCTGCGTTACCAAAGCAACGTCCCGGGTGTAAATTTCCTGGTGGGATAACTTGAAAAGCGTCCTGTCCCTCATATAAACAGACCCTTAGACTTAGATCCTGTTTATATGGAACGAGTTATCCCTTACCCTTACCCTTGATATTATATGAGTAATTTGTTATGAATGTTAATAGCAGATGCGATGCGTTTTGGGGGAGAGAACTTTCACATCATTAAAAATGATCTATCGTTAGAACTCTAAACAAAACCAAGAACTTATCTATTTCCAGTCACTCCATTATAGTCACGGAAAGAACTTTTGAAAGGGGAGAGGAGGGATGGGAAAGCTTTTAAAAGCGTCTGAGAGCTCATAATTCAACTCGCCTGCCTTAAATAATATTCATGGCTGCTTAATACAAAGTACTAACATCCGATAACAACATACGGCAATTGCATTTGCATGCAACTCTTGATTTCCTGTTAATGGCTCAATAAAATACATGCATATATAGTTTATTTCCTTCCTATAGTATTTTCATAGCCCTGCAAATTACGGTTTTTCCCCCGCGTTCAACTTGGCCGCCTTGCAAAGCCGAATATGGAAGATGCATCTTATCGTCTTTTCATTTACCTTGTGTATACTCCCTCAGATTCCCATGCATTTAGTGCCAAACTCATTGTATATAAATGAGGCCTTAATCACTTCTGAATCAGTCAATAAATCATAACTAAAAAAGCGTAAGTCAGAATTGATCGAAAGTTGCTTGGTTGATGAATTGTCAGGAATGTTATTTAAAATTTGGCCTGGAAGCTGTATTTTAAACTAGTGTCGCAAAAGTAAGAACCGTTTCGTATCATTCTTCAATAACAGACAGCGTTGAAAGAAAGAGATATTGGCTGCTGTATTCGTTGAGTGTTTTGCAAGGCCGTACACCATAAATACAAAGTCTGCTTCGCATTCTGTTCCCACCTTTCCACAACAAACGACGGCAATAACAATTTAACGAGAAAAAATGACGAGCTATAGACCAATTGCGAAACTTAGTAACCGCGCCTTCGCATAACATGGAAGCGAGGCTTATTATGCAAAAAACAATATTTGTATTTTTTGCCGTACAAAGCTATCCGCCGAGTTATATCCCGGTTTTCGCCTTTGGTTTACATATTTTTCGATACCTTTAAAGCTCGGTTTCATCGTTGTTATCATAGTTTTAAGGTGAGGGAGTTTTGCCTTTCATTTGAGGCGTTTTTGTGATGTTTTCATTAATTTTTTCGGCTGCTTTCGTCGGGGAAATATGGAAAAGGCCGACACAAACTCAGGTAAAAATTCAGTTTTTTCCAAACTATTTCGTCTCAAGTCTTGAAAATTTATTTCATTTTTCTTCCTCTTATTTGTGCAAAATTTGGCGATATATATTTGGTGCAAAATCTATGTTTTTGTGACAAGGATTATTGAAAAGTCACAGTCGAACAACCACCATGTTTACATTTCTCATTTAAAATTATTTTACACCAATTTTATCGATCGATAAGCTGTAATTTCACAGCAATTTTCTAGCTCAGGAAAAATTAGAAGAACTCTGTTGACAGAAACAATCGGAGATAAAATATACAACGGAGTTTTTTGGTTTATTTTCCCTGTGTATATAGACTTACAGTACATGTGATGTCATGCCGACTCAAAAGCAAAACAACTCTTCAACTTGGCACACATGCATGACATGGATAGTAAAATACTTATTACCAAGACATAATATCATTCTCTATTTGAATTACCATTTAATATTTCTTTTCCCACAATATCATACTATAAAGGTAGCCACAATGCGAGCAGCAGCGTTTTTTAAGATATGCCTTTACATGATGGCAAAGCCGAAGGCGAAAAAAATATACAACCCCGAAGTTCGGAAGTGTTTTCAGTTTTATAATGCGATGGTGAACGGAATCCTTTCCTTTTAAAGTATTCCTGGTTAACCCTTATTTAAAACATCTATTGCATGGTAGTAGATAGAAAGAAAAGTGTTTTGTAGTGACACAAATATACAGAACGTCAGATGCGTTCGAATTCGACTTTTAAATAAAATTCGGCCTTCATGTCGGTATGCAAGCCATGCATCGTCTGTACTTTTTTAAAACGAAATAAACAAAAACATTTCAGTTAGTTACTTTTTGCCATTTTCACAGTATTACTCTGGTATAAAGATAAAAAATATAGTGATATTTGTGAATAAATTTGAACCATTTCAGTCATTAGGTGTGAAATTATAAAATCTGACTGTCACTTTTCATTTAGTTTTCAACAATTTTTGTCACAAAAACATAGATTTTGCACCAAATATATATCGCCAAATTTTGCACAAATAAAAGGAAGAAAAATGAAATAAATTTTCAAGACTTGAGACGAAATAGTTTGGAAAAAACTGAATTTTTACCTGAGTTTGTGTCGGCCTTTTCCATATTTCCCCGACGAAAGCAGCCGAAAAAATTAATGAAAACATCACAAAAACGCCTCAAATGAAAGGCAAAACTCCCTCACCTTAAAACTATGATAACAACGATGAAACCGAGCTTTAAAGGTATCGAAAAATATGTAAACCAAAGGCGAAAACCGGGATATAACTCGGCGGATAGCTTTGTACGGCAAAAAATACAAATATTGTTTTTTGCATAATAAGCCTCGCTTCCATGTTATGCGAAGGCGCGGTTACTAAGTTTCGCAATTGGTCTATGAAGTTAAAGAAAAGGTTAACGAAGGTTTTGAGCAAGAGCCACCCGGTGTCGAGTCAAAATCCACCGTAATTTCTGTGCCCGAATCGGACATCCAGGCGAAAGTGTCGAGAGAAAATCCCTCGAATACTAATCTTTTGATTGCCGCGGCAGTTTTTATTTTGATATTGATTGTTGGAATCGTTGTCATCGGCGTGTATTATGTGAGAGAAATTGAAGACAATGAGGACGAACATGGGAAAGTTTACAAATCGCCAACAACTGGAAAATTGTTGGCTCCATGCATTGACGAGAATTGTATTCAGAACGCCGCAGGTAAAGCCCGCAGCACACGAGAGCTATTAGCTGAGCCCATATACAGGAGTAGTTATATTATAATAATAACTATACTATATTCATGTTCTTGAGTTTAAATATGTTTTTATATATCCACGTTTCTTTTAAAGCCGGTTTTCCAGCCGCGATAGCTAGACGGTATTTTATTTTTGCCATAAAGCTCTCGGGCCTGAGATCGACATTAAAGTTCAAAAGCACGACATTGAAAGCCCCGTTTACACGACACTCGATTTATTTGCACGGCATGGCTAAAATGGGTACAGTGCCCATTTCATCTCTGCTCGGCCTTTCTTTTGGTAGCCTGAACACTAAACAATTGCGTACGGGTGCCAATTTTAGCCGTGTCGTGCCAATAAATCGAGTGTTGTGTAAACGGGGCTTAAAGCTCGTTACATATGAGCTTCAATCTGGTATAAAAGCATACTTATACGAAACCTCGTGCAGATATATTGTTGTCTCATTTATATCAGTCCTATATAATTTGACAATGGTGCAAAGATTCGCTTAATTGTGCAGGAATATTTTAAAACTGGCTTGAACGAATTTTCATCTCCGTCTTTTGCATAGAATAATCGTGCCAACTGTGCCATTTTATTCCGCTGCTACTAGTCTGACCTGCACCCAGGTACAGGCCATTGAGGTTGGAAGCATGACAGCTCTTGTACCACCAACCTCCTTTGTACGTCGTAGCACAATTCCTATTATCAGGATCATTGTCACTATCCTTGGTAGTGAACTGCATTTGATTGTGATAATCAAGGGAACCACCTGCGTCACCTTTACAAAAATAAACAAACAGTAACATATTCAGATAAGACAAAACTCTGAAAACATAGGTTCACAAACAACTCGAGGCCTTCTGCTTGTGTTTCGCGCGCTTTTCCTACGTGTCGCAACATTCCCGCGTGTTTGGATCAGGCAATCCAAGTTTGCTTCCACGTTTTTTTCCATAAGCGAATTTAATTTCCGTGTTTGCATGGCCTGATCCAAACACGGGCTTTGACCAATCAGAACACATTCACGTTATGTACATGCATGTTATTTTATAAATCCCATTCAAGTCTTTTTCTGTAGCTATGTATATTGGGACAGGTATATCGAGACACATTGCCAAAGATCGGTCACTCGATCCCAGAGGCTAAAACAAAATTAAACTCTACATCCATACTATTTTATTGTGACTTGTGACGCTGTGATAACAAATACGAATAAGCTTCAACAGCATTGAATCTAAATTTATCCTGATCGTGCATGGTTTACCTGAAAAACTGCCAATATTCAATCTGTATTTGTCTGATTCATCAGCCACACTAAACGTTCCATATTTAGCGTAACGTTTAGCGCCATTGAAATCCATCAAATCTACTCTTAGAACATTTTGACCAGATTTCCACAAACGATGTATTTTATCAAGGCCCAACCAGAAATCGCCGTTAAGATCACCAAAGCCAGCTTTATAGTGTGACCATCCAAGGTAGAAATCTTGACTTCTATCTTGTCTTCTTTGGAACACGGTCCAGCCACCACCGTCTGTACTCATATCACATCTGACTTGGAACGAACCCAGGCCATCAGGGTTAATGGTATAAACACCATCTTTTCTCACTTCTAGGTTATACAGATGTTCACAACTGGTAGCTATAGAATTGTAAAATATTACAAAATAAGAATTGCCGAAGTTAGCTCTTCATTGGCTAGTGTGTTTTTGATTACATGTCTTATTCGCATTAATATTGCATGCTTTTATTCTATATATGACGGATTTTGTTTAGGAGGCAAAGGGTTTGTTTTGACAGGATTTTGACAACACCCAATTAATTTGCTATAGAATTTAATAGAAAGCTTTACCACGTCCACATGCTGTCAAGTATATATATTTTCATTCTTATCTATGTCTCAGCATACCTGATTTGATTCTTTCTTTTTTTCTCTTTATTTCTTCTGCAATCTTTGCCTATAAAAGTCAATGATTTTCAAAAACGTGTGCATGAACTGAGTTACTACGCATGTATGACGAGAACTCTCTGGCGTCAACCATGGGCTATAATATAGGCTCATCGTTTGTGCAGTTGTTTTTTTCTGCTTTCATGAAACAATGTTTCATTGATTTATATCGATATATACCTCTTCGTTATCGACCATTAGTATCCATTCTTCTTCTCCCTCCATTGTGCCTTTTGTGGTGTGATCTCTCTTTCCAGTGATGTTAGTCAGTTGGCAGTTCACAACATTGATCTTTTCTCTGTAGTTGAATCCAACACATTTCGGTTCCTTTTGGCAGAGCTCGAGACATTCTATCTTGACAAACTCTGAGTTGACGGTATGACTTGATATAATTTCATCTGGAGGTAGAGACGCACCTCCTAAAAGTAGGCAATATGCAAAGTTAGGGAGTATAAATCAATTTGATTTACCCTCCCCTATTCCCGGCAATATCATCATATACACATTAACCGCTTTCGCTCTTGTCAGCCATCTCTGTAACTCATTTGCAAGAGCATTGCACCGGCATCGCAAAAGCGTAGGCTCGATTCCTGCCGGAGGACCTATAGTTGACTCATTTTTCTATCAACTGTTCCTGGCTTGAATTTCAAGTCTGTATAATTCCACTCGAAATTAAGACCCTTTCAACTACTAAAAGTTGGGGAGTGTTGAAGGATCAGTGTTTTTAATTACATTGTAAACATGACTTGTATTAGTAACGAAAAACATTTTATGAAATACATTATTATATAGTCGACTCACCTGTCTTAATGATACTATAAATCCTGGAAGAACAGTTCTGTGAAATTATACATGCAATTTTAGCGATAAGTAATATTAAAGTCGCTATGTTAAACATGATTACATGAATGAGGTCGCCAGCAACAGAAATAACGTATTTTTATGTGTTTCTTCGTCTTATATATTATTGATACAATTTTGATTAAACAATTTAAACAATGTTCATCTATCGATTATAATAAATTGTTTCTTTCTCTGCGTGGCATTAGGAGGGTTTAATTGAATATGTGAATACAACAGACTTTATGAGTTGTAGCGGGCCATATGTCAGATTAACTTAGTAAATAAGCAAACTCTTCTAATTGTATAACTACATTCTTTTCGAGATCACAACATTAACCTTTGGGAAGAAAATTGGTCTCCATCGGTAGATTACAGAAACTTCTTTGTGAACTAACAAGTTGATGAAGATTATTAAACAGTTTTTTAAATGTCATGTGAAAATTGTTGTCCATAGATCAAGGACAGCAATTAAAAATCAACATTACATACACAGCAGGCACCACACATAGATCATCAGGGTCCGGTTGTTCAAAGCTATTGGTTCGCGCTAACCCTGGGTTGAATTTTACTCCGCTATTTTGGTTTATATGCTTCTGCACCGCTGTTTGTTTCAAAACTTTACAAAATAAGGCTTCTATTGATCCACAAAATATTTATGAAAAAACATGTTCAATTTCGTAAACGAGCGATTAGAAAAATTATGTGAAAATTTAAGTTACCCATGCAGGGTAAAGCTAACCGGCTTTTGAACAACCGGCCCCTGCAGATATTAGTAATTAGATATGTCACACTATAATATTCCTTTGTCTCTCGCGAGGACTACACCGTTAGCAAAATTACATAATAACGGAAGACGCGGGAAGAACGTTTTAATAACCGTCTCGCTTTTTTAAAAAAAAATTTAAAGATGTTAATAGTATTCAAAAAATAAAGACAGCTGCAGCTAAAGACGACAAATACGGCATTACGCCTGCGTTACCAAAGCAACGTCCCGGATAAAAATTTCCCGGTGGGATAACTTGTAAAGCGTCCTGCCCCTCATATAAACAGTCCGTTATTAAAGCCTGTTTATATGGATCGAGTTATCCCTTTCCCTTGATATCATTTGAGTAATTTGTTATGAATGTTAATAGCAGATGCGATGCGTTTTGGGGGAGAGAACTTTCACATCATTAAAAAATGATATATCGTTAGGACTCTAAACAAAACTAAGAACTTATCTATTTCCAGCATTATAGTCACGGAAAGAACTTTTTAAAGGGGGGAGGAGGGATGGGAAAGCTTTTAAAAGCGTCTGAGAGCTCATAACTCAACTCGCCTGCCTTAAATAATATTCATGGCTGCTTAATACAAAGTACTAACATCCGATAACAACATACGGCAATTGCATTTGCATGCAACTCTTGATTTCCTGTTAATGGCTCAATAAAATACATGCATATAGTTTATTTCCTTCCTATAGTATTTTCATAGCCCTGCAAATTACGTCTTTTCCCGCCTTCAACATGGCAGCCTTGCAAAGCCGATTATGCATGGAGATGCATCTTATCGTCTTTTCATTCACCTTGTGTATACTCCCTCAGATTCCCATGCATTTAGTGCCAAACTCATTGTATATAAATGAGGCCTTAATCACTTCTGAATCAGTCAATAAATCATAACTAAAAAAGCGTAAGTCAGAATTGATCGAAAGTTGCTTGGTTGATGAATTGTCAGGAATGTTATTTAAAATTTGGCCTGGAAGCTGTATTTTAAACTAGTGTCGCAAAAGTAAGAACCGTTTCGTATCATTCTTCAATAACAGACAGCGTTGAAAGAAAGAGATATTGGCTGCTGTATTCGTTGAGTGTTTTGCCAGGCCGTACACCATAAATACAAAGTCTGCTTCGCATTCTGTTCCTACCTTTCCCACAACAAACGACGGCAATAACAATTTAACGGGGAAAAATGACGAGCTATGAAGTTAAAGAAAAGGTTAACGAAGGTTTTGAGCAAGAGGAACCCGGTGGGGAGTCAAAATCCACTGTAATTTCTGTGCCAGAATCGGACATCCAGGCGAAAGTGTCGAGAAAAAATCCCTCGAATACTAATCTTTTGATTGTCGCGGCAGTTTTTATCTTCATATTGATAGTTGGGATCGTTGTCATCAGCGTGTTTTATGTGAGAGAAATTGAAGACAATGAGGACGAACATGGGAAAGTTTACAAATCGCCAACAACTGGAAAATTGTTGGCTCCATGCATTGACGAGAATTGCATTCAGAACGCCGCAGGTAAAGCCCGCAGCACCCGAAAGCTATTAGCTGAGCTAAAACCTCACGAGGCTGTTAGCTCAGCAAGTTATTCTTGTGTGCGGATAGTTTTCGTGAGGAATTCACCTCGAGAGGCAAGTTTCTTTCGTGTCCAGATGGTTTTCGGGCTGAGCTAAATGCCTCGCGAGGTCGTTAGCTCAGCTGATAGCTCTCTTGTGCAGCGAGCTTAAGAAACGAAATGGTTTTTCTTTTTATTCAAAACTTTTATAGTGTTGTTAAAAGTTACTTTAAGGGTTTATTTCATTGCTGAACGTGTCTCTTGTTTGCGAAGCGCTAGGGGTACATGTATCAATATACATTTTTACACACATCGCGACCACAGAGTGTCCCAAAACAAAATGCCCACTCGAGAGAAGCTGGGACTAATTTTTCGACAGGCGTGTAGCTTGAACCACCCGTGGATAAGTTCAAAATAGAAAACTACATTATCTTTTTTAACAACTGAGCTGAAATATTTCGATGTTAAGGGCGGCGCACACTAGAGCTTTGTGCTTAGCAAAAAGTCATTCGTGGCCATCGGCGTAAGCCAGTTGCTCTCGTATGCGGGCGACTTTTCCGGCGACTTTTGGCACGAATGACGAAAGTCACTGGAAAAGTCGCCCGCACACGAGAGCAACTGGCTTACGCTAATGGCCACGAATGACTTTTTGCTAAGCACATATAGCTCTAGTGTGCGCCGGCCTTAAATAGTTCAATATTCAGTGCATGGGAGTACATTTATGAAGGTTCAGCCATTCCTTAAACTGGCTTAACTTAAAGTGCATTTCTTAAACTGGCTTATCCAACATTTTAGCTAAACGCCTTTCGAACAACCGGCTTTTGTCTTTTTGCCTGCGCTGATGCCACTTTAAATTATTTCTACAATAATGAAGTTAAAATGGTAAAAAAATACTATTAATTTAATTTCTTCGAATGCCCGAGCTCAGAGGTGAATCAACAACCGCAGAACTGCTTTTTTTGAACACCTTGCTTTGCCGAAAATTTTTTTCATGTTCAAATTTTTTCCCCCATTTCTTGCAGCGATATTAGAATACATGAATCGATCCGCGGATCCTTGTGAAGACTTTTATACCTTCGCATGCGGTAGTTGGCGAGCCAAGACCTTCATACCAACGACTGAAACATCAGTCAGTATACTTTGGGAGTTGGGCAAACGCAACAGCGAATTCATGAGGAACCTCTTAGCGAACCCTGGAACAAAGCAAAAATATTCCTCGGTACGTAATTCCAGTTATGAACTAGATTTTATTAGTGTGAAGTCTGACAGTTAGGACTGTTCACTTATAGCAGAGATTACAAACGAAACGTACATTATTTATGATTTTCGGTTTTGAAACGAGTGCATAATATGATTGCCGTGGTGCAGCCATCCCACCAAATGGGATGTGCTTGTTTTATTTTGACTCATTTCAATACCTCAAAATAATCAATAATCTCACGCTTCGTTAAATCTGGTATAGCCGGGCTCATCCATGTAAAGCTGAACAAATTTTGAGATGAACAAATCAATATGAAATAGCCCCCAAAACGAGTGAAACTAATATGACTGATTGTGAATTTTTGTAAAATATAAAAAATATTCATATTTCTCCAATTTGCATGTATTTGTTTTACACGAGAAAAAACGACCACTTTTAGCTAAAAATGTTCAATTGAAACGCTCCTTTAGCGTGAGACGATATTTTCTAAAAAAGTTTATTAATTTAAAAACCTACGATTATTATACGTCGAAACAGGGGGAGGGGCGGTAAGGAAGTTGCCCCTTTGCTTTTTACCACCCGGGGAAAGGAGGGGACAAAGATGCTCCATGATTTTGAAGGGTTACACTCTTTATCGTAAGTAGTAGTGCAACCAACAAGCTTCAAGAAGAGATGTTTCGCAAACATTCTCTAGCAGCTTTGCATCTCTACAAAAAATGTCATTTGCACGAAAATCTTCATCCCCCTGCCCTCGCATTTTCCGGCGTGTCTAAGCGAAGGAGTCGGTCTTTAGTCACTATTTTAAAGTAATACAATACTAATTTTCAGAACCGGGCAGTGATGAAAGCAATCGATTACTACCAAACATGCTTGTCTAAAGCATCGGTCGATGCACAAGGTGACGGATATTTAAAAGAAGTCGTTGCTATGCTGGGAGGATCAAATCTAACGACACCGAATTGGAATTCCTCTGAATACAATGTTGAAAAGGCGATGCTCACAGCTATCACAAAAATTGGCACCGCTCAACCGTTCTTCCAAGTCAATGTTTTCGCCGATTTTGTCAATTCTTCAAAGAAAAGTTTTGCGGTAGGTATGATTTACTACAAACATCCTGCTGTAAACGGTGGGAAATGCTTTAAATTCAAATTCTTTTGAAATTTAATTCGTGGTTTTTACCATAGATTATGCCGGGTGATATCGGGCTTTCCACAATTTTTTACGTCAAGGAAAATTCCAGTCAAGATTTTTACGAGAAGGTGAAATAATTGTCTTGTAAACAACAAGGGGAAATTTCGTTTCAACCAATCAGCAAGTTTGTTTACATTTTCAGTAACCCAATCAGAATGCATAAGTTTTGACATTAAAGAGGTACATTATTTAGCATTTTACATGAAGTATTAGAAATTAAAACATCCTGATTGGATTTCCATAAAAAATGTAAACAAATATACCGAGTTCTTGTAAATCAAATATCCTCAAAAGAAGAGAAATTCAGAGTGGAGCTTCCGTAGTTTAACTAGCTTATACAGTTTGTAGCGGGCGTGCGTTTGTTTGATTACAACAACTCCATGCATCAAAGCCTAAGGGGCTGTTTACATGAGCCCGGTTACCCGAGATTCAACGAAGCGTGAGATGATTTTGAGGTATTGAAATGAGCAGATAACATGATCCTGGCAGTCGTATAATCATCACAACAATAGCATGTGCTTGTTTGGTGTCATAAAGACTTATTTAAATACCTCAAAGTCCTCTCACGCTTCGTTGAATCTCGGGTAACCGGGCTCATGTAAACAGCGCCTAAGAGGTTGTTTATATGATCGAAGTTAGCTGAGATTCAACAAAGATGACTTTGAGGTGTTGATCCTGGCAGCCTCGACAATAGCATGCGCTTGTTTGATGTCGTAAAGACTTTTCAGTTCAATACCTCAAAGTCATCTCACACTTTGTTGAATCCGGTTAACCAGGATCATGTAAACAGCCCCTAACTATCCATTTGAACAGCCCCTGACTATCCATGTAAACAGCCTCTAACTATCCATATAAACAGCCCCTAACTATCCATGTAAACAGCCCCTAACTATCCATGTAAACAGCCCCTAACTAACCTATCCATTTATCTACTGACATATTTCCTAGACGCGTAATTCCTACAAGCAATATATGGTGGATGTCATGGTGTTGTTTGGAGCTGACCGAAAAGACGCTGAAAAACAAATGGAGGAAGTATATGTTCTGGAGAAAGAGCTGGCTACGGTATGATTCAACCTGGCTTCTTCATACGAACTAATGAGAGCAGTGCAAATTATTTATTTCTGTTTGTTTTAGATTTATAGAAATCAAGCTGGGCACCCGCATTCGTCGACAATCAGCAGACTCTCAAGTTACACTAAAGTGAGTTGTTCCTAACTGGAATAATAATTCAACTGATATCTTTCAGTTTGAGTCGATTGATTCAATTTATTGTTAATTCACTTTGAAAGGGCGCCAAATAAACAATTATTCTTCATCTACATAATCTACATAACTATTGCTAAGTTGGTTGAAGGCTCTTAATTTCGAGCGAAAACATACACACCTCACAATTAAGCCAGGAATAGTTAAGAAAAATATGACAACAATCGGTCATCCAGCAATGGCCATTTGCATAAAAGACTGGTTAACTTTTAAAGACTAAAAGAAAAGTTAACTTTACTGTAGGTAAGGACAGAATAGTCCAATCAGAGTCGTGTATTTCGGAGTTAACCAGGAATTAACTATGCAAAATGTAGTTTTATGCAACCGGCCCCGGGAATGTCAGCATTATTTGTACTGGCATCGCAAAAGCGTAGGCGTTATCATTGAATGTTGTTTTATTTTCTAGTTCGATTGGCATTCGTTTCTAAATGCAGTTGCAGCCCAGCAAAGTTATAATTTCTCAAAGGATGAGACTATTTTGGTTCAGACAAGAAGAATCTTGAAATACGTGGTGGCATTGATGAATAGTACAGATCCAGCGTACGTATCGAACGCCAGGGCTTAAATTCAAGGGTGGCAGGGTCGTAGTAGATCGAAGTTTAATTCGAAAACATTCATATATTATTGGGGGGGGGGGTGGTTGAAAATGTTCATATATTCGTCTTATTCCTGGCTGATTTATTTTGATCGCAGTTGTTTTTCACTTATTTGAACATGAACATGTGAATATCGCCCTCCCCCAGTTAAGCTTCTAGCTACGGTCTTGAAGGGCGGTGGAAGCAAGATGTGAGAAAAGAGCTAAAAAAGAGGGTGGTGCCGGCAGTTTTAGAAAGAGAAGAAAAGAAAGCTACGGGAGGGAGCCAGGGTAAAAGAAAGAAGGAAGGAAGAACGAGTGGAGGGAATAGAAAGGAAGGGCTGGGGGGGAGAGGAAGGAAGGGAAAGAAAGAATAAAATTTGGCAGAGAGGGAAAAGATGAAGGTAAATGTGTGTGAAGAGAATAAGGAATAAAAAGGTAGACGAAAGGTGGAAGGAAAAAAAGAGAGAGAAGGAGATATAAGAGATGAAATAGGAAACCGGAGTTAGTGGCAAGGCCGGGAGAGGAATTGGTAGAATGGGAAGTGTATACAGGAGAGAAAGAATGTGGCAGGAAGGCGAAAGGGAAAGGACGAATAGAGTGGAATGTTTAAAAGGAAAGACGAAGGAAATGTTAGAAGTAGGATATAAAGTATTTAGCATTCGACGTAAGTTTAAAGTAATATGTAATGAATTGTTTTAAATACTTGTAACAGAATTGTGTCGAATTACATTGCGTGGACAACGATCAGAAATGTGATACGATATTTACCAAACGATTACGTCGATGCACGTCTTGCTTACAAACGACGCATTCGCGGCGAGTCGTACGAGGATCTTGAACGATGGCTATTCTGTTATCACACAACAATGCAAGCATTTCCGATGGCCATTGGTCTGATGTTTGTAGATGAAAAATTGGACCCGGACGCTAAAGCAAGGGTAGGTTTGGCGGTTTCATGAAACCCTCATCAGCCACTTTAACATCTTACCAAGAGGCCCGAACTTTTGTCCATTCATTGTAAATTACCCTTAACGATTAATGTTCGAAAATAAATATTTCAAACTTGGAAAGAAGAGTGTTAACTAAGGTATGCATGCATATAATAGACAGAGGGTGATATGAAGTTTAAACGTGCGTAAGTGGCAAAATGTTTCCACGAATTTTTAGGCTAAAGAAATATTTGAGGAAATAAGAAGTGAATTTTTGAGAGAACTTTCCGACCAAACTTGGATGGACAACGTTACAAAAAGGCATGCAAAAGAGAAAGTAAGCAACACGTCTTTTAAAAAACAACTACAGGCAAACTACTTTATTGAGAACTTAGAGCTGCTCTATCTCTGTCGCAAACTAAGCAACACAGCTCTGGTTATAGTTAATATTTTCTTCAATGTTTTTCGCAGGCTGTGGCATCAAGAATTCTTGTAGGATACCCGGATCACATTAAGGATGAAGAAAAGTTAAATGCAGAATACGAAACCGTAAGTAATTTCTACGTCCAAAAACACCGGAACACCTGATTTCCTTAATTCTTTTCCTGCACTTTTTGTGTAGATCCAAGTAAATCGAAGCCAGTACCTTAAAACAGTGGTCTCCATAAAAAGAATTACCCTGATGAAAAGAATCGCCGAATACAAGATACCTGTAGATAGGAATGTGTATGGGTCGAATTCAAGATTATCACCTTTTTAACGATGGTTTTTTGCAATGTCTTCAAGTATTTCAGTTTGAAATGTGATCATGTATTTTTGAAATATTTTCTAGGTTCTTTCACTCGCCTGCGGATGTTAATGCTTATCACTACCGACAAGAAAACAAAAACGGTAATGAAGTTTGAAAGTTAATCGAAAATTAAGTGGAAGTAGTCTACTCTTCCATTGAGGAGTGAAATCATCAAAATGTTATGCTCTTTTAACCGTTCCGCGTATTTTTTTCATTAGTTTTCCTCGCTGGAATATTAAACCCTCCTTTCTATAGCGACAGAAGTCTCAGGTATTCCATTAATTTTTCCACTTATATTCTTCCAAGGGTTCCACAAATTATTCTACATCGAAATATTCTCTTATGATTTTCAATAAAAAAACGACGTTCCTATTTTTTTACAAATTTCTTACCAATTTTTGATTTTATATATAGGGCAACAAATTATGGCGGAATTGGCATGATTGCTGGTCACGAGTTGACTCATGGCTTTGATAGCATTGGTACGGTTCAAGTTTGCGTTCACACAACAGTTGAGAGCCATGGATGATTCTTATTGTAAACTTCATTTAATTTTTTATCATTCAGCAAGCTTACTGTCTGCATGCTTTTTCGTTGATAAGGTCGTGGCTTTGATAAGGATGGTAACATGCATGACTGGTGGACAAGAAATTCAACAATAGAATTCGCAAAGAAAACCAAGTGTTTCAAGGACCAATATAGCAAATTTCAAATGTTTGGAAAAAATGTATAACTGTTAATATATATTGTGTATATATATATAGTCAGTTGTTATCGATTGGTTAATAATCACCCGTAGTTTCCACTCACACAGGGTGCATAAAAAACTGCGATACTTAATATTCATATATGTTCGCTTCTATTAAACAACAAAAGATTGCAGGCCCCTAGGAATTATTAAGGTTGCAGTTTTCTTTATGCATCCTGTAGATTCCAAAAATGTTACCTGCTAATAAGAATATATGGAGGGAGTCTCTGAGAAAAAGATACATGCTCTAATGCATTAAATATTGAGTTCAACGATTTAATTTTTACAAAACGATGAAGTGGAGTTACTTAGTTTTCTAACAATATCTTTTTACGCCATAATGGCTAGAAATTATTTGTTTTCTTTCACAGGTAAATGGAGAGATGACAATCGAGGAAAATACGGCAGATAATGGAGGTGTCAAATTTGCTTACGAGGTGAGTCACGATGAATATTATATCCGTTTTAAACTCACGAATTGCGCACAACTCGTCTGCATGTTATGGCTTACGCTCTGTCATTGTCTCTGCATGGCATTTCATAATTGATTAGGCGTACAAACGGTGGGTTGCGAGAAATGGTGAAGAGCAAAGACTACCTGGCTTGGATTACACACCACATCAGCTGTTCTTTGTTTCATATGCACAGGTAGGTAATTTTAGATTTTCAGAATTCCAGATTCTTTAATATCTGAGAGAGATAATATTTTGATTTGCAACATGTTTGCAAGTATTGGTCGCAAAAACTTTTTAAGCTTTTTCAACTTTGTTAGCTTAATAACGTTTTCCTCCGTTAGGCATGGTGTTCAAAGTATACACTACAAGGTGCTTTGGAGCAACTCGATAGCAGACCATGGCCGCCAATGAATTTTAGGTATGATTTAAAACCTAATGGGGGGGGGGGTGGGGAGTGGGCACAAGATTGTATGCTTCTGGTCATAGCATGCTTTTAAAAGTGTCTTCCGAAAGTTATCTTAAAAGTCCATTTCAGTGACAATTCGTAATCCGCACAGCTTGCAACTTTAGTTAGCAGTGGGTGGATAAGGGTAAGGGTTACATTTAGAGTTAGACCAAGCTAGGGGAAGCCATTCGAATTATGCATGCGCATATATATACGTGAAGCCGGCTGGTTCAGTATGAGATGTTTGTATCTGTTTCAGGGTGGAGGGTGCAATTATGAACTCTGAGGGATTTGCAGAGGCATTCCAGTGTCCACGAGGGTCACGCATGAATCCCGTGAATAAGTGCAGCGTCTGGTAATCTTAGCTACTTTTTACCGAACTTGTACAGCTCTTTATTTATATAGCGACGATTTCCACACTTTATTTTATAATCATTCTTAAGTCTTTTTTAAATCTTAATTTTTTAATTTTTGTAAATATGCAGTTTTTCGTGATCACATGCACTATAAATTATAATGTACTAATTTGTCTATGGAAAACTGTAACTGAACAATGTTCCAAGCTAATATTTTAATAAAATTTCGATTTCAAAACTCGAGATCCCATATGGAGAAACTTAATAAAACGTTAACGTTATATTGCGGCTTAATCTCACATTAAAATCCATATCAACGCTATTAGCTTCATTATCATTTCATTTCCTATTAATTGAGTGCATTCGACGCAACCAAAAACTCGACGTATCACCTGGGCCCAGTGAACTTAAATAAGACTGGAACGCTCACTCTGTCGGAAGTTTGAAGCCAAGATGGCGGACACTGAAGCCTTTCTTGTAGGTATGATCCAGACCTCCACGCGGAAATTTCGTAGGTAAAATGGCGGCAATTTTTATTTTTCCCTTGAAATTTCCGCGCCAGAAGCCTGGATCATACCTACAAGAAAGGTGCCATCTAATTCTTGGCTTCACTCATTAATGAGGGAAAGTCAGAGAGTGAGCGTTCCAGTCTTATATGAGTTCACTGTCTAGATCTACAAATGCTGTTCTTATTTCAGCTGCAGCAATTTCAAAATTCACCAAATTTTTCATGCACATGGCAATATTCTAATCCGGAATTATCACACAATATGAATATAGATGTGTGAAAATTACGATTTTAACTTTATTTAGAAAAACTATGCCCAAAGAATGTATTCAAGCTTGTATAAAGTTTGTTTGACTTGAGAGAACTTTTTAGAGAGCTTAAGATATATTCCGTAGAATTTCATTAAATTCCCTTGTTTGTATGCAAGAGTGTATAAGAGCGGTTTGGGAAGAATGAGGCTTAGGTTCACCTCGAATGCAATTCAAACAATAGATAATTAATGGTAATAAGCTTAATGGGGTTGGTCCGCTCATTATCTATTGTTTTAAATGCATTCGACGCGACCAAAATGCGACGTATAACCTGGGCCATACAAACCTTAACTCATAATCAAATGTTTGAATTGCTTTCGATGGGACCAAAATACGACGCTTAACCAAGCCCGAATACAGCATCTATAGTGATTTTTTTAGGGGTAAACTGTCGATACACTTTTCACGATCGATCCTGAGCCTTTTTTAAACGACGCTGAGCTAAATTATGGCTCTGCATATGACTGGAAGCAAGCGAGTTAATGAGTGTTCAATTCATCCAAGGTGGGTAAATTACGGAATGAATTAGTCAAAATAGCATTAACATAACCTTTGTTATCTTTGTTTAAAACAAAGGACCAAACCCGCCTATAACAATATTTCGCTTTATTTCTTACACAATCCACAATGATGCTATGTTTTTCATCGAGCTCGTATTTGCTCATATTTTCTTTATCTGGTACACAAAATGAGTCATTTAACAGTTAAAAGCTTAATCTATCTTAAGATTAAAAAATTATGCTCGCTGAACCACTAATTTTTGCTCAATAGCTTGCTAAAGTTGGATTACGTACCTGTTGGATCACCCTGTGTTTAAAGAGCCGACCATGAATATATTTGGTAAGTCTGCTAAAGCTTCTAGAGGCTACTAATGCGGCAGAACGGTTGCTCTTTAGAGCAGCGAAAGTCGAAAAGCTTAATTGACTTCGCAGGGGTAACTCCGTGACGCCAGAAAGTATCCTGCCGCGGTGTAAATAGAGCGCTTTCCTTTAACTTTCCTGTAGCTAAAAATGGCCGGACCGGTCTTGTTGATTTTTAGTAGACAGATTACTGGTATTTGTATTCAAGTATATTGTTATTTACATCTGCCTAGCACGCGAAATGCAGTTTCTCCTTTATATTTTGGTCTTTGGACGAAATACGAAGCCGAGTTTGTGAGAATATATTACTTATATGAATGGCGTACAGCTTTGTTACGTAGACACTAAAGCAATTTCCAAAATAGACTTCATCCATCATCATTTTGTGGAAATCTGGTTCACTCATTGATCTGAAAACCAACCAGACTATATTCGGTTCTTTAGTTTGCGCCTAAATCAGCGACTTTCCGTCTTACACCTCACTCATTTCAGGCGGAAGAATAAACATAGCATTTCTTGAATTCAACTTAATAAAAACTGGGAAAATCGTTTCGATATGCACTTCACCTAATTTAGCTGCAGAATAAACAACCTTACCTCGACCTGAATGAATTGTTTTAACTTAAATTGTATATAATTATACGTAATTGATTTCAAATGGACAATATTACCAATATAGAAGAAGAAAGATTGCCCCTCATTTAGGCATTACAACAACGATACCTATTCTTGCCCTTTATAATATCATCACCAACCTTTACTTTTAGCTTTGCCTTACGAATAGCCTTAAGTCAAGTCAAATAAAGTCAACTAGTCAAGTCAAAAAGATATTTACATCTGAAAACATGCAACAAGTATATTATTATATCATTACATCCTTATTATTATATACCATTCCATCATGAAAGCAAAAGAGCCTGTTCGTCCCTCGATGGCTGCGGAGAAATCATCCTAAAATAAGTTTGGACGAATTTTCATCTCTGTTTTTTTCATAGAATAAGAGTGCCACTTGTTCCATTTTATTCCGTTGTCATTACTCTGACCTGCCCTCAGATACAGGCCGTTGAGGTTAGAATGATGACAGTTGTTGTACCACCAAGCTCCTTTCCAGCTCATAGCACAATTCTCACTAACTGGAACATCATTGTCGCTATCCTTGGTAGTGAACTGCATTTTATTGTGCCAAGCAAGGGAATCACTCGCGTCACCTTTTTCGAAAATAAACAAAAAGTAGCGCGTTCAATCTTCTCTTTTACTTTATAGATCTACATATCTTAATTATATCAAGAGCCATGAAATTTAAAATGATCCCCTTGTGTGGTAGATTCAGAAGTTGGGAGCACTTCTGTTCGGATTAAAACGTTCATTTTAAAACGTTCGGATTAAAACGTTTGGATTAAACGTTCGGATTAAAACGTCGCGTGAGAGCACTTCTGTTCGGATTAAAACGTTTGGGTTAAAACGTCGCGTATTTTTTGAAAAAATATACGCAATAAAGCTCGTCTAGTTCGATTGGTTCTCCTTTTTTGTTGGTATTTTAAGAGAAAGCGATCAGCAAATATCGATTGCGCAACGTTTATCGCCGAATTAAGGTTCGCTTCAATTTTCACAGTTGCGCAAATGAATTATTTTAGAACCTACCTGAAAAGCTGCCAATATTTAATCTGTATTTGTCTGATTCATCAGCTACACTAAACGTTCCATATTTAGCGTACCGTTCAGCGCCATTGAAATCCATCAAATCAATTCTTAGAACATTTTGGCCAGATTTAGACAAACGATGTATTTTATCAAGGCCCAACCAGAACTCGCCGTTAAGATTACCAAAGCCAGATTTATAGTCTGACCATCCAAGGAAGAAATCTTGACTTCCATCTTGTCTTCTTTGAAACACGGTCCAGCCACCCCTGTCCGTGGTCATATCACATCTAACTTGAAACGATCCCAAGCCATCAGGATCGATGCTGTAAACACCATCTTGTCTCACTCCTGAGCTAAACAGATGGGCGCAGCTGGTGGCTAAAAAATTGAAATGAAATATTAGTTTTAAGATTGCACAATTCAAATTTATTTATCATTCCTGGACTTGATTTAGATGATTATGCATTGCAATGTTGATTGGAATATCCGAAGAAATGTAGATTCATCATCAAATGCAGATCAATGCTGGAGTTCTAATATAAAGAATGGGTACGGTGAATCGTGTGACAAAAATTAACAATGTTCCTGTAATTCGAAATTCAAAGTTCATTAGGAATTTTGCTCGAAAGCGCTCACCCCTATCAAGTCTGCATTCATAGCAAGACTGACCAAGCTTCATACCTGAATTCATATCATCATTTCTTATTTTTTTCTCATTCTTTGCCTGGTAAGAAAAGCATTTTAGAAATGCTTGCATTAAGATATTTAAAAGAATACATATAAGAACTCAACGACTCCGTCTGTGACTGTGGGCTACACTTTAACGGTTTATCGTTTGATTTTAATTTGAGACAGCACGATATTGCTGAGGCGTAAGTCGGTTCAGCTGTTAATGTCGCATCTATAAAAATTACTATAACATACCGCTTCGTTATCGAGCATTAGTGTCCATTCTCCTTCTGTCGTTGCGTTGTAATCCTTCTTTCCAGTGATGTTGGTGAGATGGCAGTTCACAACACCCATCTTCTCTCTGTAGTTGAATCCAATGCATTTCGGTTCCTTTTCGCAAATCTCGAGACATTCTATCTGGACAAATTCCGAGTTGAAGGTGTGGCTTGATAAGATTTTATCTGGAGGTAAAGATGGACCTGCCAAAGTAGCCAAAATGATTTTAGAATGTTAAAAGAAATGAGGCTCTAGGCAGAACAAAAAAGACAAATTTAGACAAAGCATTAAAGACTCGCCTGTTCTTACTTTATCGTAAATTCTGGTAGAACATTTCTGTGAAATGACGCATACAATTTCAACAATCAGTACGAATAGAATTGTTATCGTAAGCATGATTGCTCAAGTTCGCCAACTTCTTCGACACCCAGTTGCCAAAATAACACTTTATCGCAAAAGTAAATTTTATCACAACCGTAGTGCGTGCGTGACGGTTGTGTGGGGAATTCATTAAAAGAACAGGTAGATTATTGTAATACATGTTCAAAATAAAATATTAATGAAATTTAATTGTGGCTGCATGAAGCTGCTTTTGACGAGTTTGTTGCAGCTAAATCTATAATGACTAGAAATACATGCATACCATTAATATAATACGAATAGAATCGTTATCGTAAGCATGATTCCTTAAGTTCGCCAACTTCTTCGACATCCAGTTGTGAAAATAACACTTTATCGCAAATGCAAATTTCATAACAACTGTAGTGCGCGACAGTTGTGCAGAGGAATTCGTTAAAAGAACAGGTACATTATTGTAATATAATTTTAAGCATGTTCGAAATAAATTATTAAAGATATGGCAATAAAAATGATCTTTGTCTATTTTAAAAGAACGTTATATAATTATGTACAAAATTCGTTTACGGATTTTTGTTAACTTTATTACTTCTCAAGATATTTTTGAATGAAATTATCTTCCATCCGCCATTTTGGATATGCATATTTTTGCTCTGATATGCATGACGTCATAAGCTGGGCGAAAATTCGTTTTGTAACTTCAAATTAACGATCCGGCGAAGTGATTGTCCCATGGTATTACAATCGCACGTATGTCAAATTATAACGCATGAATTGTAAGAGTTCTAAACTAAAGCGTGATTTTTTACTCGCTCCCCCAACACAGCTAGCACAAGCCAAATATGCATATATTTAATACATAAGAGATGCCGGCGGAGGAGACTAAGCGAAAGATATCCTACTAAAAAAGGAAGATCGCCTAACCGAAGCTAAAACTGTTTAACCGAAGCTAAAACAACGCTTTATCGACTGTGTAGCTAATAAAAACAATGCGGGATGTTAGAATCATGAAAACATTACCTGAAATTAGTTGTTAGTTACAAGATAAGTGTCGGATTTAATTTGCACAATTCATTAACCACGCGATTCGATGTATTTGTACAAAGTGATTACTTTCATAAGCTTGTTGAAAGTGAACGGCAAAATTGTTTAGCAGCATAGTTTTTAGACAAATTGGTGGAAATGCCAATTTTGGATTAATCAGCCACTAAAATCTTTTAAAATTGCTGCTCTATATTAAGCTATTTGCACATGACGCGATTTTTGTCGTACGATTTTTGTCGGTCAATTAAAGACCCTGTTACACGGTGCAATTTTTCTTGCAACTTGCAATACAACTCTACTTCTAAGGGATCTAAATTAGTGAAGAGTTTTGCAGAAGAAAAGTGCATGAAGTTTAATAAACTCAAAAGTTTTGTTGTTCCCAAATATACATCTCTCAAAAGTAGAATTGCATTTTCAAATTGCAAGAAAAATTGCACCGTGTAACAGGGCCTTAAATCGTTGCTTGTGCGATATTTTTAAGCGATTTTAGTCGACTGACTGCAATCGGAACATACCAAAAGAGTTTAATTTATATTTTCATACACTCAAGATATATTAAAGTCAATTTGTATTATTAATTCTTGCTATAATTATATGCAAATTAGCACACAACTGCATGACACAAGCGACCGCCATCTATGGGTAAATGTTAATAATGAGATATTAATCCGTTATACATTTGTTACAACATCGACACCTTTTACCTTTGCCTTACCAATAGACTTAAGTCAAGTCAAAAAGATATTTACACCTGAAAACATACATGCACCAACTATATTGTTATATCATTACATGATTTACATCTTTATTATTATATACCAATAAATTTCTGCCATTTCTACAAGAAAGCAACAAGTGCCTGTTCGTACGTCTCTCAATGATTGCTGAGAAATCATCCTAAAAAAAGTTCGGACGAATTTTCATCTCTGTCTTTTTCATAGAATAATAATGCCAACCGTGCCATTTTATTCCGCTGCCACTAGTCTGACCTGCACCCAGGTAAAGGCCATTGAGGTTGGAATTATGACAGTTGTTGTACCACCAAGCTCCTTTCCAGGTCGTAGCGCAATTCTCATTAACTGGTACATCATTGTCGCTATCCTTGGTAGTGAACTGCATCTTATTGTGCCAAGCAAGGGAATCACCTGCGTCACCTTTTTTGAAAGAACCATGTAATTCCAAATAGCCCGTTTGTGTGATAGATTCAGAAATAGGGAACACTTCTGTTCGGATTAAAACGTCACGCGACTGATATTTCGTGAGCCTTTACTTTTTGAAATGTGCGCAGTAAAGCTCGTCTAATTCGATTGGTTCTCCTTCTCTGTTTGTATTTCAAGAGAAAGCGATCAGGAAATATCAATCGCGAAACATTTATCGCCGGATGGAGGTTCGCTTTAATTTTCACAGTTGAACAAAATGAATTCTTTTAGAACCTACCTGAATAACTGCCAATATTCAATCTGTAATTCTCGGATTCATCAGCCACACTAAACATTCCATATTTAGCGTATCGTTCAACGTTATTGAAATCCATCAAATCAACTCTTAGAACATTTTGACCAGATTTGGACAAACGATGAATTTTATCCAGACCCAACCAGAACTCGCCGTTAAGGTCGCCAAAGCCAGCTTTATAATCTGACCATCCACGGTAGAAATCTTGACTTCCATCTTGTCGTCTTTGGAACACGGTCCAGCCACCCCTGTCTTTGCTCATATCACATCTGACTTTGAACGAACCCAGGCCATCAGGATTGATTGTATAAACACCATTTTGCCTGACTCCAGAGCTATACAGATGAGCGCAGCTGGTTGCTAAAAAATTGAAATAAAATAGTATAAAGAATATACAATTGAAATTTATTTATTCCTAAACTTGTTTTAAATGATTATGCATGGCAATGTTTATTGAAATATCGGAAGAAATGTAGACTCATCATCAGATGCAGATGAATACTTGAGCGCTAATATAAAGAATATTACAACGCTGTCTTACATTCCTTCATTTACATTGCATTAATTGATTGATTGATTGACTGATTGATTGATTGATTGAATAATGAATAAATAAATGCAAGGTAAATGAAGGAAATAAATGGCAGCGTTGTAAATTACTAAATTCAGAGCTTCGTAGCGTCATAATCCAACGATGTGATAGAGCAAACCGAAGATCCCAAATTCATACGGAGTTCAATCTTCACCTGCTCGAATGGGTACGGTGAATCGGGTGACCGAAATTGGCAATGCTCATGTAATTTGAAATTCGACGTTCAATAAAAATTTTGCTGCAAAGCGCTTACCCCTATCCAGTCTACGTTTAAAGCAAGACTAACCTAGCTGCATACCTGAATTCATACCATCATTTCTTCTTTTTTCCTCATTCTTTGCCTGGTAAGAAAAGCATTTTAGAAATGTTTGCATTAAGCGATTGAAAAGAATACATATTGTATGATAAGAGTTTACCGACGCCGTCTGTGACTGACTATGGGCTACAAGTTTAGGCTACAGCACGATATTGCTAAGACGTAAATCAGTAGTCGTGTATTTTCTTTTCAGTTGTAATGTCGCATCTATAAAAGTTACTACATAACATACAGCTTCGTTATCGAGCATTAGTATCCATTCTCCTTCTGTCGTTGCGTTGTGATCTTTCTTCCCAGTGACGTTGGCCAGTTGGCAGTTCACGACATTCATCTTGTCTCTGTATGAAATCTTGAATCCAATGCATTTCAGTTCCTTTTCGCAGATCTCGAGACATTCTATCTGGACAAATTCCGAGTTGAAAGTGTGGGTTGATACGATTTTATCTGGAGGTAAAGATGGACCTGCTAAAGTAGCAAATATAGTTCGGAATGATGAAGGAGAAAGAAAAAAACTAAGGCAAAGCAGTAAAGACTCGCCTGTTCTTATGTTATCATAAATTCTGCTAGAACATTTCTGTGAAATGACGCATACAATTTCAACCATCAGTACGAATAGAATTGTTATCGTGCGCATGATTCCATAAGTTCGCCAACTTCTTCGACATCCAGTTGCCAAATAACACTTTATCGCAAAAAGTAATTGCCAACAAACGTAGTGTGTGACGGTTGGGTGGAAGAATTTATTAAAAGAACAGGTACGTTATTGTAATGTATGTTCAATATAAAATATTAATGAAATTTAATTGTAGCTGCATGAAGCTGCTTTTGAAGAGTTTGTTGCGGCTAAATCCATAATGGCTAGAAATACATGAACACGGAATCCCATCGCCTAAGTCCAATTAACATAATACGAATAGAATTGGTATCGTTCGCATGATTGCATAATTTCGCCAACTTTTTCGACATCCAGTTGCGAAAAAAAAGACTTTATCGCAAAAGCAAATTTCATAACAACAGTGGTGTTGTGACAGTTAATAATTGTGCGGAGGAACTCATTAAAAGAACAGGTACATTATTGTTATACATGCATGTTCAAAATAAAATATTAATGGCTTTTAATTGTAGCTGTATATGTCGTTTGTCATGCTGAAAGATATCCTACTAAAAAAGGAAGATCGCCGAACGTATTTGTTGAACCGAAGCTAAAACAACGCTTTATCGACTGGGTAGTTGATAGAAACAATGCGTGATGTTAGAATCTCAAAGTCATTACCTGAAATTAGTTGTTAGTTACAAGATGAGTGTTCGATTTAATTTGCAATTCATTAACCAGGTGAGCTGATGTATTTGTAGAAAGTAATTGCCTTCATAAGCTTGTTGACAGTGAACGGTAAAATTTTTTAGCAGCATAATTTTTAGATCAATGTGTGGAAATGCGCAATTTTGGATCAATCAGTCCCTAAAGTGTTTTAAAAGTGCTGCTATATTAAACCAGGCGCACACGACGCGATTTTTGTCGTACGATTTTAGTCCGTCAACTTTATCCTTGGGTGTGCTATGTCATTTTTAAGCGATTTTAGTCTACTGACTGCAATCGGAACATATCAAGAGAGTTTAATTTATATTTCCATACATTCAACATAATATTAAAGTCAAATTGTATTATTCATTTATGCTATATGCAAATTAGCACACAACTTGATTTTATATGTATTTATTATTAAATAATAAAGGAAGTTAATGTTATACGGGTCTTCGTATCGTAGTGTCTCGGGTCTTAGGACGCTGGTCCGGTCGGTTACTTGCCCCCTCCGGTGAGTATAAAAATGAGCCCAGTTTGCCTGATCTAGTTGTTAGTTGCTTGCGTGACCCATCCCTCCCTTTTCCCAAACGACTTCACGCGATGTTGTGAACTCTACGGGAGAAGCGTCTTATTAATCTCGCTGGGGTTTTTTTTTGTTAGTTTATTTTGCAGGATTAAGCACAGTTCTTTTCACACCCGTTTTGGTCGTTGAATTGGTGTTTGGGGTAAAGGTAAATTCATTAATGATCGCCACATTTACAGGTATTTTTCTTCTTTTTGTGTGTGTGTGTGTGTACTTTGATGTTCGTATCGTTTATTCCACGGTTTCACTTCAGTGACTCACGTGTGACAGTTGATCACGGGATGGAGGAGGTACCGTTAAAATAGCATGGTTCGTAGAGTTATTATCTGCGCCGAAAACAGCAAACTCAAAAGAAACACCGTTTCACCCCTAGCCCGATCGTTTCGCTCGGATACCGTCTCCATCCCTACCGATCGGCAGCGGGCAAAATATAGTGATATAGTGTAAGAGCTGGTGTGCTATCGTACTGATGTGAGCCTTAGGATCCGTTAGAACGTTAATGTGTGATTTAGTTCCCGTATGCCAATTTGAATTAGCTTGTAAGAATTTTGAAAGTTATAAAGGCCCAGGTTAGGCCCAGGTTAGGCCCAGGTTAATGGACTGAAAACTTTACAGGAATAATCATTCTTGGTGTAGTTATCAATCTATATTCTATATCCTTTTTCGACATTAAAAATGAGATAAAGATATTAAAGATTAAAGATATTCAAATTATACCTGTTTTAATATATGTAGCACCTGAAGTTATTTTATTGGCCTTTATTGTTGCTTGATTTTATTTGTTTACTCTTACCGATGTCTCCATGAGAACTCGAGTTTAAATTTGAAGTATTAAGTCTTTATTTCTTTAAGTTAGTCATGATTTCAGAAAACGAATTGTCAAAATGAGTGATAATGGGGTGTTCAAAAAGGGTTTTTTCAACAAGCTATAGAGAAAGAATTAGCTTTTTAAATTCTTTTTACCAAAGCCAAAGGCAAAGAAAACTATATTATATACTCTGCGCTGTATTTTCACACTGAAAGTAGTTAAGCCTATATATTACAGAACTTAAAGCAGTTCAATAAGAACTTCCCGTTTGGTCTTTGACATCATAGAGTAAGCTATGAACTTGATAATTTACAACGCTGCAGCCATTCTTTTTTCCTTGGAATGGATATATTCCCAAATGCAAAAACTTTAACGATTAACTGTCCTTTCGCTTAACTGCGTAAAATTCTTAAACATCTTGCAAAATAAAACAGTTTAGTCATTGGATATATCTTAAATTGGTTCAGACATTGTAGCATTACCTTACTCTTACATTTATTTAGCATTTCTTGAATCATAGTTAATCGAGGGGAATGAATTTAATGCAAACCGAGTTGAATTCAGTCTCGAGGATAAATTTGTAATTATGTCACTCTAACAAGATAATATTTGTGATAAATGCTAATAAGTGTGCATTCACAGTGAAGCCACCCATTCGGTCAAGGTGGTCTAATCGCGAGAACAATATATATTTCAATAGTCGTATATTTCAAAATATGTAAAATGTAATTTTTACAATCCTTTTAAGTCCGTTGAAAATACTTCTGAACCCAGAAATGTATAGTTTTTAAGGATGTTAATATGTAACGAGTTTTCGAAATGCTAAGAAAACGTTAGCAGATCGTAAGAAATGTTCGTATTTGACAACTTTAAATTCCTCAGGAGTAGGAGTTGCAAGGAACGTTGCGTATACTGTACACTGCCTTAAGAGATTTTTAAAATCATTTAAAAAAATCCAATTACAGCCATCATTGAGTCTAAAATCGGCTGGTTTCTCTCAGCTGGTCGTGCTGAAGTGCAGTTGATGAAGTTTTTGACGAATATTTTCGGCAAACACATCACAAATATCATGAAAGATATAATCGCCCATTCATGTCCTTCGTTTCAAATGTCGGAGCTTTGTGCATGCATGGGTACGGAATATGGAACTGCGCAGAGCGGAGTCTTAAAATGCCTCTCGCGGGTGTCTCACAAAGCGCTTCTTGATTATTAGGTACATGTAGATGCATTTGTGGATAATGACGTCGGAACTTTTGTCGTTTTAAATAACAAATATGGCGGAGCATGAATAAGAATATTGGCGAATTAAAGATACTATGCTTGTATATCCAACAATTTAAATGAGGTATCGTTCAAATTCTATGACGAATGTCATTGAAGTTTTCAGAGCGATCTTAAAAAAGGGAGTAAACGCCTGAGTAGGCGCTTGTTCACATGTTAAATGTTGGTCCATTGTGCAACTCTCCAACCATGAGTGAACTATCAGCCACTTGGTCGTCTCGTCTTCTGGGAATTATTGTTTCTTTCTAATTTCAGCTGATGGAAACAAGATTAGGATAAAAATTGATATGAAAATCTTTTTTTTAGCAGTACCACATAAACTCTCGCTAAGTCAGTGGGTCCTGGATTGGTTGCCACTGGTCATTTCGGAATGGTCGCGGGTCAATGGCGAATCAAGGTTTGTCAAAGTACCTAGACAGTAAGTACTTCGGCACAATAATTAAAGTGCTATAAAAATGATCCTATCAATTATCACTTATCAATTTCCAAAAAGTATTTTAGAACTCAATCCACTCTTTGCATTATTTATGATTTTTAAGTACACTGAGCCGAACAATTCATTTTGGCTAATGCTAAATCCGCTACTGGGACTATCTGGGTTTAATCACATAACCTAGTTGCGGCGCTTTTAATGCATAAAAATCGTACGAACTCGCCAACGACGAAGTAATGTATATTTATCTTATGGATATAAATTGCAAAGTGATTGACTGCCGTTTTGAGTCACGCGACCTGACCACTTGTATCACGCGACCTAAAAATTAAACGGCACTAAAACTTTTAAATCAGCAACAACATAGCAGAAAGCGTGGTGAAATCACTTAAAAATGGCTCTAAGTGTGTCCCATTTTATAATAAATGCTAATTCTCTTGACGAAGATATTTGGATAAAAACGTACAATTTCTATAGGCAGTTGACATTCATATTAATCTTAGGTAAAAACAACGAAAGTTAAAAATATGAATTAATGTATAGTTCTCAATTAAAAACTCTTTAAAATTGTTGACTGGAGACCATGCATCTGATGAACAAAAACAACAATTTGCACGCGTTTTTTGTAGCAGAAACGTCACAAATGGAATTAAGTTCGAATTGTATAAATTATAAACTAAATCTACTCTTGACCCAGCAGTTTAAAAAGACATGTTAATTGTTTGAACATAAAGAGCTGTCCACATGCTCTTAGAGCAATTCACATACAGACGTTCGTCATTCATCTTTTTTGAGACGTATAATATTTTTAAAATTCGCATGGTGAAATAATAAGCCGAAACTTCTGCATTAAATAAACGTTCTGCTCCAACAAATCGGTTATATAACTTTTTCTTAATATTGAGGTTGGATTCAGAATATTATAATGCTTTTTTGAGCTTAGTATAACATGGAGATATGGATCATTGCGTCTTCAGAAATATTCAAAGTAGTGAAATTATGCAGTTGTAATATCTTAGTAAAGATGGGGTGGTTGGAAAACATTGTCAGCAAAAAATTGAACATCGCTGAAATATCTGACCTATATGCCCCCTTTTAATTCCATTAAAATTGCGTACGATTAGAAAGTGATTGAATGTGGTTATTAAAGGACGTTTTTAATCGTAATTAACACAAATATTTGCAAAACTGAAAACCCTTAGCTATATTTAAATGTTCTTTTACCGTTTTGCTTATGCGTATCAAATAAAGTTAAGATACGTATTTAGAAAATTGCCCATTCTGGCAGTTCCACAGTTAACCGGATGGAAGTCAGGAATGGTAGATCCATGCCACCAATTGTGGAAGTAGGAAACTTGGGCCGCACATACACTGTAGCAATAGATCACACCTCTTTTCTTGGTCATGGCTTGACCTGCACAAGTTCCCGCTGCCACTTTAGCCTCAGACGTCACATCTACATTGTTCTCAGCAATGAAAACGATAGATTCCTTGATTTCAGGATCGCAGACGGCCTTCCAGTAATATGCAGGAACAACCATTTTCCCAGTTCCCACAACATATGGCGATTTTGTTGAAGGGTTCTTCGCTACACCCGCTGTATAAATAAAACATATTTTACCACAGTGGCAATTTCTTATATAGCCCTTTCCCAGTCATAATTACGTCCAACGCGGAAAGCCTGAAGTTTGGCTCGTTAGATTTGCAGAGCCAATCAATGTTCGTGTATTATCAGGCCTACTAATAGCCTGATACTTGGAATTGAAGTAAAGACAGTGTTTTGAAGATACGCGCAAACGTTTCTTCTGCATGCTTGCAGCATTTCATGTCCAAACCTGACGTTTTATTTCCCGCACTCTGCAAGACGCAGGAGAGTCGTAAGCGATTTAGAGCTGCGAAGAATTCGGGGGAAGGGGTTACGAAACTTACCTGTTCCTGTGAAAACGTAAACACCACGCCCAACAAAAGTAGCGTAATCCTTCACCGCTCGTTCAACGCTTGCCCAATTGCCTCCATTAAAAGGTTGCCACTGTGGTGCAACGTTGGTCATGATAAACGTGAGATCACGCTCATGTTTGGTGTTGAATACTCCACTTGGAACAAGATGACCCCGGGAACAAAAATTTTCACCCCTCCCTCCAGTATTTTTGTAATCATTATGTTTTGCTTGGGACTTTGGAGCTGAAAAATTTGAGATACATATAATGCGGTAAATTCGGTCGGAAATGTGCGTTATACTTTTAGTTGGAGGGGAATATTCTATAATAATTATTAGCTATTAGAATAAATTGTTTTTAGATCAGGGGATTAAATCTAAATTCTTCCGTCGCAAAAAGAATAACTTAAACCTCAATCAATAGTTACATTAATAAATGAATAAAAAAGCAAAGGCTGCTTCTGGATCATTAAAACTATCTATGTTAAGAAAACAATTTTAAAATGTGTGTTATATCACGTCAAATTAACCAGCTTTTTTCTACACTTTTCGGGTTTAAATTGACGTGCCGTCATCTCCTTTAATCACGACAAATTTGACCTAAGATAGCCAGTATAGAGAGAGGTTTATTGATTAGGATGGGAGTCGCGGCGACGCGGCGATGACGGCTAAGATAAACTCCTTCAACTAATGTTTAAAAAAAAACTACAAAAAAGAAAACCTTCAATAAAGTTAGTTCTTCAATAAACTTCAATTATAAACGGTGAGGACATCGATTAAAGGATGGGAAATTAAAAATTTGACTAAACTGAAATGAAAGTGGCGTTCTGCATGAAACGTTATAAATCTGACCAATTTGTCGCGTCCTAAACAGCGAGGATGCGGTGTAGAGCACTCATGGGACTATATTTTGAATATTCGATTTCATCATTAACTGGCGGCGTTACGTCCATAGTTTTCAAGTGATAAAGTTTTATGCATAGATAGGCAAGCGTATATATAGGAAAAGAAGTCGGGTACGCGTTAGTAATTGACGCTGCTTGATTTACTGCAGTTAATGCTGACACCCACCGTACGGTCCTCTGTCTCTTGCAAACGAACGTGGTCGTCTGTAACGGCCACAAATTCGTGAATATGAACCGTGAGGAACGATATACGCGGTAAATTCAGGGATTTGTTTTCGTATGTTGTAACAAGCGATGTACTGAGCGTTATCCGGACGACGATTTTGGGCGCCATAACACAATCTTGAATGGTTTGCTGTGTTACAAGCAGCAGTCGGTGAGGTCCTGAGCACAGGAAGACGTGGATTTGTCCATCGATCGATCATACATTTATCGAAGTCGTTGTGAAAGGCATATTTTTCTGCGATAACAACTGTTTTGTCGCCTATAAAGAAAGCGTTTGGCACATTTAAATTTTTTAGTTAATATTACTAAATTTAATAGTTACGCCTTGTGGTCTAACTGGTGGTTTATTTCGCTCAACATATACACTGCGTAAGGCTGTGAGTGGGCATGCAGCGCATGTTAATTGGTTTTAGAACGATGTCAATTACCTTTAATTGGCGTTTGATTAGCAATCTGCGCGGCCTCAAGTCCTGCGACTTTTATGATAAGGATCAGAAAACATAAGTAAGACATTTTCTTAGCAATCCTGCAGGAGAACAAAAACATTGTTTGAGCTTTTAAGGAAAAGCTTTAGGTTACGCATCTCGTATATGTATGAAAATTACGGGCGTAGTTATCACTGCTTACCTCAGCAATATCCTTGGGCTTGGGAGAATAAGGACTGCAAAGTATAGCAGCTTAACGAGGACAAAATTAAACCAAGGGAACTCCAGCAAGCATGCCTTGATGAAAGACGTCAAGAACTAATGAGAGTGGGTAGTTATTCTTGTTAAAATCAAGCTTTGAGTGTGAAATTGAAAATTTTACATGCATGCATGCGTATGATGAAATTTCAATTTCACATTATAAAATTCGCTTTTTCGCGCATTAAACTTCCGTGTAGAAATGCCGTTCACAATGAAATAAATGAAAAACTGATTTTACATAGCCCGTGTCTATGACGTCTCTTTCACATTTAAGTCTAGTCGTGCCGAATCCAGAGTAAGTTAGAATAAATCACTACGGTTGTAACTTGCAATCTTATCGGTAATATTTTATGTAGGAGTATTCTTTAGAAATGAATATTAAATAATGCCGTTTTCATATTTATCAATGGGTATTTTTAATTGGAAACCCTAAACCGCCACTGTAAATTTCATTACGAGGAACTATAATTACTAGGAACTATAATTACTAGGAAAAGCCAGAGATTAGATTAAAGCGAATGTAGTACTTTCGTATTGTTTATAATTGGTTCTTTGTTGGTAAAGGTTTAAATCGGATTCGAATTTATTCACATTATAGAGATTGTACAGTATTGAATTTTTTGGCAAGTTTAGGGGCTATTTACATGAGCCCGGTTACCCGAGATTTAACGAAGCGTGAGATGATTTAGAGGTGATTGAAATGAGCAGATAACATGATCCTGGCAGTCGTATAATCACCACAACAAAAGCATGTGCTTGTTTAGTGTTATAAAGACTTATTTCAATACCTCAAAGTCCTCTCACGCTTCGTTGAATCTCGGATAACCGGGCTCATGTAAACAGCCCTTTATAGTGAGAATGTGAGATGCTTTGCAATAGCGCTTGAACAAGTTTCCTGCATGATCTATTCCTGCCCGGCTAGCCTCGTCCTGAAATCCTGAACCGTTTTAATATCTATGCTTCTGAGCAACCCAGACAGGAAAATGGATAACTTAAGACGTTTTGTCTTAAAGCGGGAATTTTTCCTTTTAAGAAAGGAAATATACGACATTTTAGTTTGATAAATTCGGGCTTAAACAGTTTTGTTATAATTGCGTCGTGTTTTTCAAATGAGTTTTCTAGTCGGATACCTTTCTTACCATTAGGTATAATTCTTAGTTTATGCCTTCCATTGATGTCACATATGATGATTATAAATTATATGCATACGGTTGTCTTTCCGACTTCCCGATCCTTAGTTCCAAAAATTCTGGATTGACTTCTTATTATATTATACCTCAAATTCAAATTGTCCAATAAGAAAGCTAGATTTCTGCATGCGACGTGATCATGAAATTTTTCTCCGTATTGCGCTTACGTCATCCATATTCGCTGCAGCGGCGAATATCATCACCTCGGGGAATATTTCCCTGAATCCCCTTCACTCCAGGTCTATAAATGATAAATATTCACACACTTCGAAGCGTGCGTATGTCCGTTTCCTGTCGGAAGAACTGAAATTTTTTCATCCAAATTTTTTTATCCAATTTGATTGTGAAAATTGAAATTTGATAATTTGCCAACCTAAAATTTGTTATCGAAAAAGCCCGCATATAATCAGATTTGCGAAGATATTGTTTTGAATAAAAATAATGAAACACCAAAGTTACATCATGCTGCTGACTCCATCAACCATAGTGTATTTACGTAAAAATTAAAGCCCGTTCAGACGCGTCATTTTGATGTATATCCAGTTCACATCTGCACGTCAGGCTTCCTCGATTTACACCAGATGTATTTTTTATCGTGTTTCTCGTTCTCGTTTCTCGCCATCAGCCAAAACTCGTAGTCGTTGGGCTTTTGAGTGCCAAAAAACTCGTACTCAGAAGCTCGGCGACTACGAGTTTTGGCTGATGGCGTAAGCAAACAACGCGCGAGAATGACGAATCTCGTACTCGTAGTCGTACTAGTCACTGCTAAAGCTCCCTAATATGAACATGCTGTCACCCTTTTAATTTCTAAATATTATAGCTGAGTGTTTCTAACACGCAATCATGTCATTTCCATTAACAACAAGACGTCGACTCGACTTCGTAGCGCCAACTTTGGGTCGTTAACGGTGAGGCTTCTATGTCTGAAATCTGGAGCTTTGTAGAATATATATTCGAATCGTCAAAATTACTTTTGGACGCCAATGGCAACGGAGTAATTAAACGTGTCAACTTCGACAATGGGCTTAATTATTTTACAAATTTTCGACAGAAGTATTTCCATAGACACGTGGTACGAACAGTAGGATGTGACGTTTCAACCAGATGAAGGTATTAGTGACATAAGCGAGTACCACGTGACGTAGGAAAAAGTTGAACACGACCAACCGAGCCGAAATTTTAATCTCGTGTCTATTAAACCATGATAAAATCAAAGACGAATAATCTCAGCCAAAAGGGAATCCGAGCATATTTTGTGGACTTAAGCACCGTTTACAATTATACGTGCTTTGACTGAATTGTAAAAACGGCTTAAGATGCATTACTTTTTGTGTTTCTCGAATGCTGTTATAACTGTTTCAGTAACAAAAATAGGTATTTTTCCCTTTTTAAATGAAGCTTATCAGTAACTTTTGTTTTCAGCTCTGACAAAAAAAAGGTCAAAAGGATTTTCATATCAGACTTTCTTCTCTTCCTTGCTGATTTAGACAATATTTAGACCATGCGTAAAAAATGATACAAGTCTTATAGCTCTTGAGTTTCAGTTCAATATTTAGATCAGTTTCTCTCAATTCGGGGGAAAGACAACATGGCTGAAGAGTATTAAGTTTATCCCCGCGATATATGCAGTTTTGCTTGCGGTGTAGTAAGTTTACACCTTCTTAATATTAATTTCATGCTTGCGGAGTGCAGGATATCCCTCCGTGCACTCCATAGAATTCCTTAACACTTTAAAGACCTCCATGTGCTATAGATCTCCATATATCCCTATAGGTCTCCATAGATATCCGTATATGCATCCATAGGCCTCCATAAACAATCTATAGGATCTCCTCAAAAGATCTCATTAAGGCCTCATTAAGCCCGTTTTTCACTAGCGCTATAATTTACGCGCGAAGAGACATTTTACTCTGTCAACTGCAACCATCTGAAACAAGTTATTATATAATATTGACAAAAGAATAAAGTCGCTTCGCGCGAAAAATATCACAAGTTGAAAACCGTCTTAACACTTCATGGCCGGGGCTATTTCAGATATGGTAGAGCACCTCGTTACCAGGCCTCCACTAAGCGCTAACACTTTTATAAAGGACAAAGAGACTGGAAAAATACACTAGTGGAGTATTGAGTATTTATTATAGAGATCTTAGCTCAAAGCATTCGTAACTAAGAAAACAAATCGTATCTCAAACCGCTAAACAAATTGCTTTAATTAAACATTGACAAACCGACGAAATATATGCTAGAAATTATTCGGTGTCGTCCAATACGTTGCTCACTCGGCCCAGTTTTCACTTATCTTCCGGTCTGGTGCGTATTGGGCAGCCAATAAAAGAGACTGTATGTTGAGCGTGTTACAGTTGATGATGCAGCTATGATTACGTTTTCCACATACATTTTTGGTAAAATTAATCAAAAAGAGAATGCGTGTAATTATTCCCTGCTATGCATATCTTTCATTTGAAAAAGTACCAACAGATTCGACTTAAAATTCTCTTTAAAGATCAAACGAAATGTGTGATTCACAAATAGATCATATTTTTTTCAAATCATCCAGTGGATAGTGAAATCCAGCATTTGTAAACCCAGCAGCAAACTTATAAAGTAACATATCTTGAGGGGCTGGTATGCTAAATGTATTAGACGGAGTGTCAAAATTCAAATTTATGATTTTTAATTAATTATTTCTACATGATGACATAATTTTACAGCGAGAAGAAAAAATGAATGTTTGCATTTTAATTAGTTTGCGTGGAGTATCTTAAAACTGGTTGGGACGAATTTTCATCTCCGCCTTTTTCATAGAATACCATGAATTTTTCCAATGGTACCAGTGTATTCCCAATCTAGTACCCTGGGCTTCATGCGCATTCACGTAAAGGCCATTGAGGTTGGAATAAAGACAGTTGTCGTACCACCAAGCTCCTCTTAACGAAGCACAATTGTTATTACCCCAAGCATCATTGTCCCTATCCTTGGTAGTTAACGGCATTTGATTGTGATAAGCAAGGGAATCACCTGCGTCACCTTTTAAGAAATTAATTAGTAATATGTTTCATTTCTTAGTTATGCTTAATTAATGCAGGGAACTATTTATACTCAAATGGAGGGAGACCTTCGCGTGTACTAGTCTGCTGTAAAAAGTCATTCGGGCGTGGCTCTGAGAAGCTTTACTTTAAAAAAGTTTTATGTCGGTGATATTTTATTTCATATTTGATATATTTTATAATAAAATTCGATGTGCCATTATGAATGGATGAAATGCAAATAAGTGCACAAGCCGGCAGCTATTTTGTCTCTAAATTCGGCATGGTAAGGCATGAAAAAACCAAATAGTTAAGCAATTGACGTTTTAAAGTACAAACTGTAAACGCGATAAGCACGCGAAATCGTTCGATTGGAACTTTTTTTGTTTTGGTCCAGAAAATCCAGCTGACCAAAAAATTCAATTTTTTTTGTAAAGATTTTCCTCCAACTACACTACGTTTTAAAATAGGTAATGCTTGGATCATTTGGTTGATGTTTACCAGCTGGTTAATATCAATTTACGAGTTTACCTGAAAAACTGCCGATGTTCAATCTGTATTTGTCTGACTCGTCAGCCACACTAAACGTTCCATATTTAGCGAAAGCCTCAACGTTATCAAAATCCCTCAAATCAACTCTTAAAACATTTTGACCAGATTTCCACAAACGATGTATTTTATCAAGGCCCAACCAGAACTCGCCGTTGAGATCACCAAAGCCTGCTTTATAGTCTGACCATCCAAGGCGGAAATCTTGACTTCCATCTTGTCTTCTTTGAAACACGGTCCAACCACCCCTGTCTGTGCTCATATCACATCTGACTTGAAACGATCCCAAACCATCAGGATCGATGCTGTAAACACCATCTTTTCTCACTCCATGGTTATACAGGTAGGCGCAGCTGGTAGCTAAAAAAAGTTGAAAATGTTATTTTAAACCAGATAAAGACTATAATTAGGCCCCAATATGATGGTAAATTTTTAAACCCTGCTATCATTAACTTTAAATTTTAGCCAATTATTAATATTAGTCAAAAATGTAGCCAAAAATCTAGCCAATAGGTAGATTTTATAGCTGGATAAAGGTTTCGATGTTGCCTCGCTATCTGCAACAACGTATGGGCAATATATCAATAGAATCCGGGCTTGGTTTTGTCATTATATTTTTATCGTTTAACATTATATCACCACACACAATGAGAACATTTCATACTGCGAAAATTAAAGAAAAACAAAAAGAGCGCGAGTATATATGAAATAGCTCTACTTTTTATTTTTGTATATTTTTTAATATACCATGGCTCATACAGCGCGCAGACTTTGAGGTAAATTTCACGAGTAGCGAAAACGCGCCAATTGTTCGCACATCACAGACATTGTTCGCACATGAGAGAAACTTGACGAGCTGGTGGCCATGCGTGGTCGTTGGCTCAGCAAGTTTCGTTAGCGTGCGGCAGGCTTTAAGAATCATACGAATTTTAAAGTATTAAGTGATCGCCTTTTTTATACACTCTTCGTGTTTATAAGGGTTTATGTTTAGGCAGCGATGTAGCAATCTATGTTTTGGCGGCATTTTGATTTCTTCATTGGTTTTAAGTAATTTAGCGTTTTGCTCAGCATGCAAGCACGCCGCAACATCGATAATTGCAGGGGGCATATATTCATATATTCGAGTTCTTAATTATTGATTTCCTTTTTACGGTCTGTGCACTTGAATATATGAATATATGCCACCACAATTATAGATCTTCCGGCGTCCCTGTTAAATGCTCAGTCATAATCAAATGATTTTAATTCACATCTATAATCTTGCAGCATACCTGAGTTGAAAATGTCATTTCTTCGCTTTTCCTGAAATTAAGAAAACACGTTTAGAGACTTTGCGTGAATACTGACGAATCAGCGTGTTATTATTTCGCATCAAATGTGTTATAACAACTAAACTATACTCATTATTACTTATTAATTATTTGCTATACATGCATATATATTCCTCAAATTAAGGGTCATTAAGCAGTCTTTTCTCTGCTCTGGTCAAAGGTTTCACTGTTAATTTTAACTTATTCACTATTTCGTATCAAATGTTGCATAATACGCATGCAACTGCCTACAAGAGGCAAAAACCTAAACTGCTGTTATATTACTTCATGTATTTTGTTTCCATGCCAACTTTTGCATTATTACTAGAGCGGTTTGTTTCAAGTACGTGGTAGCGCAATATTAGTCACTTGGGAATCGTCAAATTTCTTTTCTTTTTTCGCTTTGATCGGATATCTGGAATACATACACATACCCATTCATCATCCAGCATTAGTATCCATTCTTCTTTTTGTGTTACTGCGGTGTGATCTCTCTTTCCAACGATGTTGGTCAGTTGGCAATTCACAACATTCATCTTGTCTCTGTAGTTGTATCCAAAACACTTCATTTCATCCCGGCAGAGTTCGTAACATTCTATCGGAATGATCCCAGATGTTATGGTATGATTCGATATGATTTCATCTTGAGATAACGGCAGACCATCTAAAGTAGGAAACATGGTTAGAGATGAGAGTTTTTAGAGGGATAGAGTTTTTTACACTAGGAACATGATCGTTCATAAGGCAAAAACCTGACGACTCACCTGTGGTAATGCTAGAATAACGGTTGGGAGAACAGTTCTGTGAAATAATACACAGAATTTTAACGATTAGTAAACACAGAGTGAAAACCTTAAACATGATGTCACAACCTCCGATAACAACTGCATGCGCTTCTTTGCCAAAACAAGTGATAAAAACTGCCTGCGTGCTATGACGTAGTTCATAGACAAATTGCTAGTGTGCATGCGTAGATAAAACGCGTAAGTCGAAAGCAGCTATTAATAAATTATATTTTCTAGCATCTCGTTATGTCCTACTTAGGGGTGAAGGGTATCTCTATTACCTAGTAAACATACGGCACACACGAATGGGATACGGCTTAAGGCCCATTTACACTACGCGATTTTTCGTATATGATTCTAACCCTGGCGTGAACAAACGTACAAATGTGACACTTCAAACTTCCACCCTGGATGATATGACGATATGAATGAAGATTGTGAAATAGGCAATCTTTTGCATTTGTCAAAATAATAATTGCATACAACATATCGTGTAGTCTAAATAGGCTTTTAGATTAGATGCATATGTTGCATTGCATCTAATTTTCATCAAACTTAATTATACGAATGCTCTTCCAAAAAAGTTTAGTAAAGTTCAGATAGATGCATTAATTTCAGATAAAATTAGATGAATTTCAGACAGTTGAATCAATTCGGTACGGTTGCAAATTCAATTAAGAAAAACAAATATGAATTTCAACGAAAATTAACGTTTTTAAATATTTTTAGGCAAAAATGCTGTTAATAACAGCAACGATTGTAAAACAACATAGCGTGTCTTTTACTTCCAAAAATAAAAAAAATCATAGCAAATCCTTGTGCCTTTGGCAGTTTAAATGCTTTTGCCATCTCATATACAGCTGGCACTATCCTATAATGTAACACAATGAGGCATCAACAATTGGGGGAAAATGTCACTATTGAAAACAAACTGATCAAAGATATAACCATCAGAATATCTGAATATTGCCGTACCTAAAGCTCTGTTTACACTACGCTCAATTTATTGGCACGGCACGGCTAAATTCGGTACCCGTAACCAATTTTATTAATGTTCAGGCTGCCAAAACAAAGGCCGAGCACAGATGAAATGGGTAAGGACACCCGTTTTAGCCGTGCCGTGCCAATTAATCGAGTGTAATGTAAACGGGGCTTAAATGTACGTCTTAAGACATTTCTGATTATTAATTCATAACATCTAAAATTTGAATGACCGATCCAATTGTAAATGTCTAAAATTTCTGATTTTGATTTAGAAATATCTGAAATACGCATGCTAAATGTGGTTAGCACTTAATACTATCGGCAAATCATCGCGATATTTCTGATTTTCCAAGGGAAAGGTGTAGAAACCAAGGAACTGGCAACTTTCGAGCTAATTTCCATAATAATAATGCTATTCAAATTTGCTGCAATTCAGCTGCCATAACATAGCAGGCGGACTGACTGACAGGCCATGGCGGATAGGCGATAAGGCCGAATGAATTACTACAGCTTTGAATCGCAATCACATTAGTATAGAGTTTCGTTTAAAAATATTCTCTGGAAATTCACAACCAGTAGCGTTATTGCGTTCAACGAAAGAGAGGTCACGTGACGTCAGGGCTGAATTAGGCTTAATGCTGGATATCTGTCGTTTTGAGATTTTTGTGTGCGATTTGCCTCGCTTTCGTGTTTTTGCGTTTTTCCGGATTTCGTGTCGCGTCATAATATGACCCCTTGGTCCAATTTTATGTCCGGAATCGATTTTTCGGGTCAAGTTTTCCCTAGGGTGAGGGCATCATGGAGTTTTGTCACATTTTCGAACCGCATGACAACATTGCGAGCACGCAGTAAGCACGCGTGAGCAACGATTATCGTTTAGAACTTATAAAACGTTATTTGTCCGACTCGTTTGCACATCCTACCCCAACAATTACTCGGTATTATAACAGAATGACGACATGTAAAATTCAGAAATTTTGAGGACAGCAGAGAACAAAACAAAAGATAGCTCTTCATAGATGAAACATAATTTTACTCCAATGAGCTTTTTGTGGATCACAATGGAAGTAGATTGAAATGAGCGATAGATTTTTTGATATTGAAAAAAGTTTTTATACAACATCATTCCGAAGTATTTGCGAACTAAAATATCAAAATTTTAAAAGTTTTTCATTTCTCAAATGGTGGGAATACACCCTATGCCAAATTCTATCGCTCATTTCACTTATCAAGTTGAGCTCTACCATGACTGAAAATTTCAGCCAAATTGGTTGAATTGTTGTGGAGATATCTTTTCTCAAATGCGGAAAATGCAAAGTTTCGGGAAATGGATTTTAAAGTCGTGGTATATAAAAACAGTGGGTACAACATATAAATATGCTATACATTTGCACCTTCTTGTAATTCAAGTTTCTGGTACTTGTCACTGACTAAAAAATAGCTATCTAATATCCTCCTGCCTCATAGGTCACTCCTTCTGCCTCTCGTAATTCCTCCTCCCTCTGCACTCTCAATGCTGTATCCCCTCGCAACGCTGTTTAAATTCTTCTGATACCTGCAGGTCTGACTTTGCAACTCTCTTTAGACTGCAGGCCTTTTCTGTATGTTTCCCAGCTGGTGTAGACAGTCTTTCCATATTTTTTGCCTACAAGCCACATCACCATGGTAGCGGCATACTGCCGACGCAACCGCAAACTGTATTATTTTCAAGGGATGGTACACTGCTCCTCTGTTCACATGCCCTTGTGGACAGTCTATTTTGATGTTTCAATTTGGCTGAATTATTACAGTAACAGCATTCAATTAAGAAATCTGACATCAGACCAGCCCTGGCATTAGTATATTCTGTGAGACTCAGTTGACCTAAAATGGATCACCAGTATACACAATCAATAATTTCCAAGATTATATTACTAAATATTGTCACAGACACTGTAACATTACTTAAATCTCAAACAAAAAATATTTCAATATTACAATGGCAGAACTGAAAAAATTGCAATTCCATTGCAATGTATCAAACTTATAATTTGAATAACATTGAAATTGTAACCAACCTTATGAACTTCTGACACTGACTGACAGTGTAGATGACAAAACATTGGCATCAACAAGTCTGTAACTGCTCCCAATCAACTCGTTATTTTCACCATCATCAGCACTAAATAAGTCCGAAGTTTCAGTAGAAAAACCTTGATCACTGAGCTTATGTCTAGATGCTCCAACAGAGGTAGATAGTTGCTCTGAACTGTCTTCAGTACTTGTGCTAGTTGATGGAATTTCGTTGCTGTTGTCACCTCTTTCACGAACGGTTTAATCCAAGTTTTTTTACAACGCTGGCGCCCCAGAGAAAGCCTTACCCTTTCTTTTCTTTCTATAAGTACTTCTTAGTTTCTTTCCAACCATATTTTAAAAAACCCGATAAAACAATGGATGATTTTTGCAATTTTTGTCAACACAGAACATGCGAGTTTGAGCCCACCGAATTTCAGCAAAAAGTACGCGCAAGAAACGCATGGTCTTAACAAGCAACCGCTGCTAAATGCTTTTAAAAGTGAGCCAGCGTTGTATTTTCGTATTTTGGGAGGGGAGGGACAAAATTAAGAATGGTAAATTAAAGCAAAACAATGATGGTTATTCCCGTTGCCACTGTTAAACAGTGCCACTGTTTCAAAACGCTTTCTGCACAGTTTATTCCAAAGATGTAGCAAAATAAAATAAACTAACAACGTTATTTAGATGTTGGAGAAGCCATTTCCACAAAAATCCCAAAATAGATATTTTGAAGCAGTTTCAGGTTGACCCCCACCTTAATGTATTAATTTCACCCTTGGGAAGTGCAGGATATCATTCCGTGGCACTCCATAGACCTCCACAACACTTTATAGACCTCCATGTGCATCCATAGATATCCATAGATATCCGTATTTGCATGCATATAGGCCTCCATAAACAATCCATAGGCCTCAAAAGACCTCATTCAGGCCTCATTAAGCCAGTTTTTCACCAGCGCTATAATTTACGCGCGAAGAGACATTTTACTTTGCTGGCAGATGCAACTATCTGGGAAAAATTATTATAAATACTGACAAAAGAATAAAGTCGTCCAGGGCTATTTCAGATTAGGTAGAGCACCTCGTTACCAGGCCTCCACCAAACGCTAACACTTTTATAAAGGACAAAGAGACTGACAAACCGACCAGAAATATGCGAGAAATTATTCGATGACGTCCAATACGTCGCTCACTTGGCCCAGTTTTCACTATCTTACAGTCTGGTGCGTACTGGGCAGCCAATAAAAGAGACTGTAATTATGTTATGCGTAATTGCAGTTGATGATGTAACTATGATGACGTTTTCTACATACATTTTGGGCAAATAAAAAGAGAGTGCGTGTAATTATTCCCTGCCATATCTTTCATTCGAAAAAGTACCAACAGATTTGACTAAAATTCTCTTTAAAGATCAAACGAAATGTGTGATTCACAAATAGATCATATTTTTTTCACATCATCCGGTGGATAGGGAAATCCAGCATTTGTAAACCCAGCAGCAAACTTATAAAGTAACATATCTTGAGTGGTTGCTAAATGTATTAGACGGGATGCCAAAATTCAAATTTACAATTTTTAAATAATTATTTCTACTATCATGACATAGTTTTATAGCGAGAAGAAAAAATGAATGTTTGCATCTTAATTAGTTGCAAATTTGGGACGAATTTTTATCTCCGCCTTTTTCATAGAATAATACGAATTTTTCCATGTGTACCAGAGTATTCCCGATCTAGTACCTTTGGTTTCATGCGGATTCACGTAAAGGCCATTGAGGTTGGAATTAACACAGTTGTTGTACCACCAAGCTCCTCTTATTCCGGCACAATTTCCACCACTCCAAGCATCATTGTCGCTATCCTTGGTAGTTAACGGCATTTGATTGTGATAAGCAAGAGAATCACCTGCGTCACCTTTTAAGAAATTAAACAAAAAGTAATATGATTCATTTCTTAGTTATGCTTAATTAATGCAGGGAACTATTTATACTCAAATGGAAGGAGACCTTCTGCGTGTACTAGTCTGCTGTAAAAAATCGTTCGGGCGTGGCTCTGAGAAGCTTTACTTTAAAAAAGTTTTATGTGTGATCTTTTATTTCATATTGGGTATATTTTATAGTAAAATTCGATGTTCCATTATGAATGGATGAGATGCAAATAAGTAGTCAAGCCGGCAGCTATTTTGTCTCTAATTTCTGCTTGGTAAGGCATAAAAAACCAAACAGTTAAGCAATAGACGTTTTAAAGTACAAACTGTAAACGCGATAAGCACGCGAAATCGTTCGATTGGAACTTTTTTTGTTTTGGTCCAGAAAATCCAGCTGACCATGCAAAAAACTCAATTTTTTTGGAAAGACTTTCCTCCAACTACACTACGTTTTAAAATAGGTAATGCTTAGATCATTTCGTTAAGGTTTACCAGCTGGTTCATATCAATTTACGAGTTTACCTGAATAACTGCCGATGTTCAATCTGTATTTGTCTGACTCGTCAGCCACACTAAACGTTCCATATTTAGCGTAAGCCTCAGCGTTATCAAAATCCATCAAATCGACTCTTAACACATTTTCGCCAGATTTTGACAACCGATGTATTTTATCAAGGCCCAACCAGAACTCGCCGTTGAGATCACCAAAGCCTGCTTTATAGTCTGACCATCCAAGTTGGAAATCTTGACTTCCATCTTGTCGTCTTTGAAACACGGTCCAGCCACCCCTGTTTGTGTTCATATCACATCTGACTTGAAACGATCCCAGGCCATCAGGATCGATTGTATAAACACCGTCTTTTCTCATTCCATGGTTATACAGATAGGCGCAGCTGGTAGCTAAAAAAAGTAGAAAATGTGAAAATATTATTTTAAACTAGATAAAACCAATTTGGCCCTAATATGATGGTAAATTTGCAAACCCTGCTATTATTTTAGCCAATTAATGATATTAGCCAAAAATATAGTCAAAAATGTAGCCAATAGCTTTGTTAGGTAGATAATGGTTTCGATGTAGCCTCGCTACCTGCAACAACGTAGTGGCAAATAGCAATATATATAAATAGAGTATGGGTTTTGTCATTATATTTTTATCATTTAACATTATATCAAACGTTATATAACCACACACGATGAGAACATTTCATATTGTGAAAATTAAAGTAAAACAAAAATGGCGCGAGTATATGAAATAGCTCTACTTTTTATTTTGCTGACGCGACCTTGCCGTGGATATAAGATAGCTGCATGTCGGCAAACCTGGACGAAGAATTTGTTACAACGACGGCGGAGACAAGTATGATATGCTAATCTTCTTGCGAGCTTAATGCAGAGGATCCAGAAACATTCAGGCAGTATCACAGACTTGATATTGATGGTTTTAAAACATGGATGGCCCGGTTATTCGTAAAACGATACTGTAATGCAAACTAAAATTAGCCCTGAGGTATACAGGGGCGGATCCAGACTGCGACTGATGCGATTGCACTAGTCAAAATTTTACAAACAAAAACGAGAATTAAATACGATATCGGCATAAATTAGGACTAGTCTAAATTAAGACACGAAAAATATAGGTCTAATATACCTGTTCCAGTATCCATGGTCGAATATTTCGGGACCTACTTTGCTCATACCGTTCGACCATGGTATAGTATACCATATATATTCTAGCTGCATGGTGTATTCGATCATGGTCGAGTATAGCATATTTCGGTACCTACTTCAGTCATACCATTCCACCAAGGTCGAGTATACCATATTCCGGTATATTCGACTATGGTCAAGTATACCATATATATTCTGGTGTATTCGACCATGGTCGAGTTTAGCATACGTCGGTACCTACTTCAGTCATACCATTCGACCAAGGTCGAGTAGACCATATTTCGGTACCTACTTCGGTCATACCATATTCCGGTATATTCGACTATGGTAAAGTATACCATAAATTATATATTCTGGTGTATTCGACCAAGGTCGAGTAGACCAAATTTCAGTGCCTACTTCAGTCATACCATTTTTGGGTACATTCCACCATGGCTCATACAGCGCGCAGACTTTGAGGTAAATCTCACGAGTAACGAAAACGCGCTAGATATTTTCCTCAACTCCATGGCGAAATACTTTCAGAGATTGTCCGCACACGAGAGAAACTTGACGAGCTGATGGCCATGCGTGGTCGTTGGCTCAGCAAGTTTCACTCGCATGCGGCAGGCTTTAAGAATCATATGAATTTTAAAATATTAAGTGGTCGCCTTTTTTTATACATCTTTCGTGTTTATAAGGGTTTATGTTTAGGCAGAAATATAGCTAGTCTATATGTTTTGGTAGCATTTCCTTCCTTTATTGGTTTTAAATAATTTAGCGTTTTGCTCAGCATGCAGGAACGCCGCAACATCGATAATAATAATAATAATAATAATAAACTTTATTTAAAGAGGGTTACAATAGTACATTTTTACCTAAGCGGTATTCTTCCAAATGGCCCTCATTGTGATACATATAAATAGTTTATGCGGTCATTATATACAGGAATGGCATTAGAGGATTAAATACAACACAATTAATGAACGGAAACTATATGTACAAAGGAGAAAATATTATGTATACGTATATATAAAACACAAAGACTATACACAACACAATATATATATGTACAACACAATAGACGAGACAACATAAACTGACAAAAGAAATATTGAATAGTTTGAGATAAAAGTAGAATGAATATTGAATAGATTGAGAGAAAAGTAGAACAAGTGAAAAGTCAATAAGTGTAACATATACACTTAACAATGTTAGTACATGAAGAGCAAGAAAAATGTTCATGATGGTCAACTTCATAATTTAAATCTCGAAAGAACTTTTTTAGTTTAAACTTGTAGGCTGAAGGGGAGTAGTCATGGACCATTTTTAGGTCATTCGGCAAAGAGTTAAACAGCAAAACTCCACTGCATGAGAGTTTAGTTGTAGCCAGCTCAGATTTGACTAAGGATACCCTTAGATCGATTAGGGAACGTCGAGTATGGACATTATACATCTCACCAGATATATGAAACAGATTGCGAAGCTCACTTGGTGACGAGCTACGCAGGGTGTTGACAACTAACAGTATTTTCCTCATCTTAATCAAGTTATTGATGGGAATCCAATTAAGTTTACGAAAAAGATCGACAGAAGGGGTTGACATACTCTCATCCAAAGTTAATCTTGCAGCTCTTTTTTGAAGTTTTAGCAGCGGATCAATAAGCTCGCGGCGTGCATTTCCCCACACAGTGATGCCATATAAGAGATGAGGGAATATAAAGGCATAATAAAACTGAATTCTACACTTCACTGGAAGGGATGGACAAATACGCTTAAATAGATATAGTCGAGAATTTAGCAGTTTGAAGATTTTATCCACTTGGTAGTCCCAAGTAAGATTTCTATCAAGAATTATTCCAAGTAGTTTACCGGAATTAATTTCCTCTATCGTTGGGGGCATATCTTCATATATTTTAGTTCTGCATTATTGGTTTCCTTTTTACGGTCTGTGCACTTGAATATGTGAATACATATGCCCCCACTATTATAGATCTTCCGGCGTCCCTGTTAAATGCTCAGTCGTAATCAAATGATTTTAATTCACATCTATAATCTTGCAGCATACCTGAGTTCAAAATGTCATTTCTTCGCTTTTCCTGAAATTAAGAAAATACGTTTAGAAACTTTGCGTGACGAATCAGCGTGTTATTATTTCGCATCAAATGTATTATAACAACTAAACAATACTCATTATTACTTATTAATTATTTGCTATACATGCATATATATTCCTCAAATTAAGGGTCATTAAGCAGTCTTTTCTCTGCTCTGGTCAAAGCTTTCACTGTTAATTTTTACTTACTCACTATTTCGTATCAAATGTTGTATAATACGCATGCAACTGCCTACAAGAGGCAAAAACCTAAACTGCTGTTAAATTACTTTATGTATTTTGTTTCCATGCCAACTTTTGCATTATTACTAGAGCAGTTTGTTTCAAGTAGGTGGCAGCGCAATATAAGTCACTTGGGAATCGTCAAATTTCTTTTCTTTTTTCGCTTTGATCGGATATCTGGAATACATACACATACCCATTCATCATCCAGCATTAGTATCCATTCTTCTTTTTCTCTTACTGCGGTGTGATCTCTCTTTCCAGCGATGTTCATCAATTGGCAATTCACAACATTGATCTTGTCTCTGTAGTTGTATCCAAAACACTTCATTTCATCCCGGCAGAGTTCGTAACATTCTATCGGAATGATCCCAGATGTTATGGTATGATTCGATATGATTTCATCTTGAGATAAAGGCAGACCATCTAAAAGTAGGAAACATGGTTAGAGATGAGAGTTTTTAGAGGAATAGAGTTTTCTACACTAGGAACATGCATCGTTCATACGGCAAAAACCAGACGACTCACCTGTTGTAATGCTAGAATAACGGCTGCGAGAACAGTTCTGTGAAATAATACACAGAATTTTAACGATTAGTAAACACAAAGTAAAAACTTTAAACATGATGTCACAGCCCCCGATAACAACTGCATGCGCCTCTTTGCCAAAGGAAGCGATAAAAGCTGCCTGCGTGCTATGGCGTAGTTCATAGACAAATTGGTACTGTACACGCGTAGATGAAACGCGTAAGTCAAAAGCAGCTTTTAATAAATTATTTTTTCAAGCATCTCGTTATGTCTTATTAGTTAACATGCACCGAAGGACTTATAACCTCATTAACGAACGAAACTTACTTTAAGATCATTGTTTCCTATTGGCTGCATGAGACTGCCAAATTCGTTCGTCACCGTAAAATGCCAGGCCCTCATTGGTTGAACGTTTAGTGTCAGGTGTGACATATTCATAATCGAAAATAAGTTTGCAGTTCTGTTTTGCATAAGTTCTTTCAACTCACGTTGAATGCTTAAAATATATTCTAATCTTAAAACGCCTTTAAGTCTGGTTCACACTTGTCTGGGATTCCCTTTGGGCTTTGTCTGAGGCCGCTGGTGTGCAAAATGCTTTTCTGAGACTATCGAAAAGTAATACAATGGATCCCCGATTCTTAGGAGCTTATGTGAACCAGGCCTTACACTGATCGATCATTATATGTAGCTTATGCATGTACATTCAAGTTCATTTGACATAATGTAGACCCTAAAACTCGCTCGACTTCATGGATTACCCTGCGTCCTCTCATTGAAGGCAGTAAAACTTTTAGTTCTATAGAAGTTCATCTATTCTCGCAGCTTGGCAATTTCAACTTAATAAATGTTTGTTTGTAAAAGATTGCTTTATTTATCTCTATATTTATTGTGATGAGAGGAAGCATGTTTCTTGCATGGACTAATGGTCTTGATCTATCTTATATGAGATGAAAATTTACACCGGCATTGCATGCGAGTTATAATTGTTTTCTAACTTTTTACAATGTTGTGCATGTTTCGCGACGATCATATAAAAATTATTAGTGTCAGGTGCAGGTATATGGGATGCTTTGTCGACAATCTTATGCTACAAAATTTATGGAAAATACCGAAAATATAACGAATTTTGAAAATATTGTAATCGCCGGACTAATTACTTTTAACGAACATCAACATGCTTACAAGCATACATCGTCTCATTTGCAATTATTATACATCTAGCCAATCACAATTAGAACTTTTACGTTCGTACATATGCATAACTGAATATAACGTCGCTTACGGTCTTCGGTGCATGTTAACTACTTAGGGGCGATGGGTATTTCTATTACCTAGTAAACAAACGGCACGCACGAATGGAATACGGCTTAAGGCCATTTACACTATGCGATTTTTCGTCTACGATTCTAAACCTGGCGTATGTGAACGTATGATCACGCGTACAAATGTGACACTTCAAATTCCACCCTGGATGGTATGACGATATGAAGGAAGATTGTGGAATAGGCACTCTTTTGCATTCGTCAGGATAATAATTGCATACAACATATCGTGTAGTCTAAATAAGCCTTTAGATTTGATGCATATGTTTGTGCGTATAATTTTTTCTTAATATAATTTATAAGAAAAATATATTGCATTGCATAAAAATATCCAATTTTCATCAAACTTAATTGTGGATGATGTGATGATATGAATGAAGATTGTGAAATATAGGCACTCTTGCATTCAGCAGAATCATAATTGCATACAACATAATTTATTGTGTAGTGTTAATACCCCTTTATAGAAAGCCACACCGAATAAGAATGTTTTGTATGAAATAAGTTAGATGCATATTTTTTTCATTATAATTTTTTCTCATTATATAAGGAAAATAATTATATTAATAGCGTGAGCATTGCATGGAAATATCTAATCTTGATCAAACTTAATTTCAGTGCAAATGCTCTTCCAAAAAAGTTTAGTAAAGTTCAAATAGATGCATGAATTTCAGATAAAATTAGATGAATTTCAGACAGTTTAATCAATTCAATACGGTCGGAAATTCAATTAAGAAAAACAAATATGAATTTCAACGAAAATTAACGTTTTTAAATACGTTTAGGCAAAAATGCTGTTAATAACAGCACGAATGTAAAACAACATAGCGTGTCTTTTACTTCCAAAAATAAAAAAAAATCATATCAAGTATGCTCCTGGTAATTGGCACTTTAAATGCTTTTCCAATCTCATATACAGCTGGCAGTACCCTATAATATAGCACAATGAGGCATCCACAATTGGGGGAAAATATCATTATTGAAAACAAACTGAATCAAAGATATAATCATCAGAATATCTGAATATTGCCATACCTAAAGCCCTGTTTACACTACACTCAATTTATTGGCACGGCACGGCTAAATTCGGCATCCGTAACCAATTTTATTAATGTTCAGGCTACCAAAACAAAGGCCGAGCACAGATGAAATGGTACCCGTTTTAGCTGTGCCGTGCCAATAAATCGAGTGTAGTAAAAACGGGGCTTAAATGTCCGTGTTTAGACATTTCCAATTATTGATTCATAACATCTAAAATTTGAATGACCGACCCAATTGTAAATGTCTAAAATTTCTGATTTTGATTTAAGCCCCGTTTACACTACAGTCAATTTATCGGCACGGCACGGCTAAAATGCGTACCCTTGCCCAATTTTACTAGTGCTCAGGCTACCAAAACAAAGGCCGGGCACGGATGAAGTAGGCACGGGTACCCATTTAAGCCGTGCCGTGCCAATAAATCCAGTGTAGTGTAAATGGGGCTTTGAGAAATAATTATCTGAAATACGCATGCTTAAATGTGATTGGCACTTAGCACTATCTGCAAATCATCGTGATATTTCTGACCCCCCAAGGGAAAGGTGTAGTAACCAAGAAACTGGCAACTTTCGAGCTAATTTCCATATTAATAATGTCATTCAAATTTGCTGCAATTCAGCTGCCATAACATAGCTGGCTGACTGACAGGCCTTGACGCGGTAAGGCCGAATGAATTACTACAGCTTTTAATCGCAATCACATTAGTATGGAGTTTCGTTTAGAAAATATTCTCTGGAAATTCACAACCAATAGCGTTATTGCGTTCGACGTAAGAGAGCGCTTCCTAATTGTGACGTCACGGGCTGAATGCTATGTCATTTTGAGATTTCGGGTGCCTCGCTTTCGTGTTTTTACGTTTGCTTCAACTGCCGGATTTCGTGTCGCGTCCTAACATCAGGTGCTTTCCGTATTTCGCTGTTGTTTAGGACCGGGCAATTGGGCTTTCGTATCTGCCTTTTTATTAAGAAGTTGTAGGAATTGTATAGATTATCTTGATTTTGAAGCGTTTGAAATATCATTGAGGATTTTATCAAAGCATCAGGAGTCTATCATCCAGTGTTTTAACCATGAAAATTTTTATATAAAATGTCTTGAGTTTAGAGGAAAGCATTAGAATAGGGGTTATATAGTGTCTCGCTATGAAAAAGTCAGTTTATAAGCGAAGAACATTTTGCCCGACAATTATCCATATGTTGCATGCAGGTATCAAGCTAATAAGTATGCGATGAGTTATTAACGTATCTTGTGTTATTTAGTGGAGTAGAAAATTATCAAATGCTTCTCGAAGACAAAGGAAGTCCTACTTATGAAGTGCGAATTCTTTTCATTCGCTTTCTTACGAGCAAGCTAGTAGAATTTTCTCATTTTTGAATAATTTACTGCAGCTCTTCCACGTCGAACTCGGAAATGTGGAGAGGATTTTTAAATTATTCAACTCACGTCAATGAACTCTAGGTGAATTTCAGATATTGTAGTTGTAATCCTGAAAACGTTAAACGAAGTTCAATAGTTGCAATAAATTTCAGGAAAAGTGAATGATTTGTCTGATATAAATTTCAGACAAATCAATTTCGTACGGTCGCAAATTGACTCAGAAAAACACATATGAATTTTAACGTTTATTTAAATACAAAGTTAACGTTTATTTAAATGCAAACACTGGTAATGACGACAAAAAATTTTAAAAAAATGAAAGTAGAAGTCGCGTCAAAGAAGCCAAATTTTGCATGTTTCGAACTTTTTTCATCCAAAACACTAGTTCATATTTATTGAAAGGCATAACGAGCCTAAATATTCTTAGATATTCTGACACCACATAATATCTCATAAAGTATTAATGAAGTTCAAAATGTAAATAAACCGTTTGTTTACACAAGGACTTGACTTCGACTTGACCTCGACGAACAGGGTGAAACAATGTTGTGATGCCCACGATGACATTGATCAAAGTTGTTATCAACATTGAAAAGTATTGTATCATCCAGGTCATTTTCAACAATATTGTTCAAAGTTGTTGACAGGCGCGAACAATGTGGCTGTTAAAGCGCAGGCTCGGCGTTTTTTTGCCGTGTACGCGACTGGAATGGTTGGCAATGGAATAGCTTTTAACAAAACCATCGAAATCAGCATGTTCTATCTAGTGATAGTGATAGTGATAGTGAGAAAGTTAGTCCAGTTGCGTTGTGAGTTCAGTGACGTCAGTGATCGCGAAAACTATATCTTACTGAACGCAACTGGACTAACTTTTAATATCTCAAAATTATTTATTGGGATGCCTATGGTGAGATGAATAAAAATATTTACCGTCAATCGTAATATCTTTTCACTTATATATTTTAAGGACAGAAACTCAGTCAGTCAGTTTCGGTTGTTATTTTTGGCTATTTTTGTGGCAAGTTTTAGTTTGCTTGTACATGTTCTTATTTGAAATTTAAGAAAAAGATTACGCCTTCGATAAATACTGATGGAAACTCCTGATTTTGCATGAAATACCAGCGTTTTAGCAGGAAAGGAAATAATA